TTCCCAATTCTTCTCCTTCAATCTACTGTATCTAGCCTGATTTTGGAAATAAATATGGGCTAACCAATTTCACATTCTCCATGTTTTCTTTTCCTTCTCCTTCTTTTATGTACCCAACCAGGGGCAGCTGTTTGTTCGCTGGAGGGCCTTAATAGCGCCAAGCACAGTCCCTTGCATATGGTGGGGACTCTGAATACAGTGTTTGGCTGGTTGACTAGGTGGTGTTCTGGTCTAGAGCTGTTCCAATTCAGATCCAATTTGTGGGTCTAATTTTTTGAACTGGGATGGAACAAAAGAGCTTTGGAGTTGCATAAACCACTGCTCATTCCATTAACTTTGCCTCCTACTACCAGCTACAGTAAGTGCTTATCACATGCAAGCTCAGGTTGAGCGCTTCATCTGCATTATCACATTGAATACTCTCCAAATTACATGATGCAGGCACAGTTGTAACAGTAACAAAATCCTTAGTAACAAATACGATTCACTAAGCATTTCTCTGTGCCAGGCATTGTGCTAAGAAATTTTAATAAATTATCATGAACCTTCTTAACAACCATGCAAGGTATTATTACCCACATTTAACAGATGAAGAAACAGACTCAGGACAGTTGCACAATTTGCCCAAGATTACATATCCAATTAATATTTGTGGCTCAAACCTTCATCTGTCTGAGTCCAAAGCGTAGGCGCTTTCATTGCATCATACTAACTTGTCAAACATGCCAAAAAAACCAGTGCGAGAGGAAAACTAGGTATGATGGAACGCTACGTGATTTAAATAAATCCTTTCTGTGATACATTAGTCTGAGACCTTTTTCTGAGGCTGAACTGACATGAGTGGCAAATTCTCTTCTTCTGTTAACTTTAGGGAAGCTGTTACATTTGATTGCTCTGTTCCATCAAAATTGTCCTTTTTAGGAGGGGATATCTATACACTTAACCTTCTTGATTTTTTTCTTTCTTTTTAATGATACTCTGTCCTGGAGGGAGAAGGTGATGTCTCTGCAACTTTATTATGCTGCAGGGATCTTTGTGATTGAGAACTGGGTTTCTGAGCATAGTGAGAGATTACCTTTGAGTGAGGTCTTGGAGAAGTCAGAGTACTCAGGAAAGCTGTCTCCCTGGAACTGGTTTGGGAAATGACACTGTTCTCTGTGACCTATTAAGAGCAATCCTGATTCTGGATGCAGGATTGAGAAGGAGCCAAATGAGATTTCCGCTAGCCATCTGGATTTCCCAGGACTTAAAAGATAACAATACTTGCCACTTGAAGAAGTGCCAGATATCCTGCCCCAACGTTGTCAAAGTTGATCTTCACGTTCTTCCATCTGATTTCTGTATTGTTCCCCTCCATGAGCTTTTCACACTCAGTTTTATTGTTGACATCTTCAATTTCAAATCGGATTTCAGAAGTCTCATTAAAGCAATAGTGGTACTTTCCCGCAAAGAGGTTAACGCCCATGATGCTGAAAATCAGCCAGAAGATGAGACACACCAGCAGCACATTCATGATGGAGGGGATGGCGCCCACCAAGGCATTCACCACCACCTGCGTTGGAAGGGGAAGGTTGCTGAGTGTTGGGAGGAAGTACCAACAGACGCACGTTTGATTTCCAGGAGGGGAATGACATTGTGTGGCTTGTTCTGACTATGGAAACAGTGTTCCTTTTGGAGTTAGGATAACAGGACTGATTCACAAGTGGGACTGATTTTTTGTAAATATCTGAAATATATTTTGAGGAATTCTGATAAATTACATATTTACATGTTTATTTCATTTAACACAAATTCCCCTGCCCAAGTTGACCCAGATCTTCTCTCGTAGGTGCCAACGTGGGACTGAAAAAATTATTTCTTAGTCTAGTCTTTCTCTTTGCCAACCCGTAAAATATGCCCTCACGGGAAAATCTGAGTGATTTCAAGCTCTCTAGTTGCCTTTCAACAGACATTCCCCCTCTGCAAAACAAGGTACAATTGTTCAAAATCACCCTTTGGGGTTAGCAGTGACTCAATGGCACATAACATTTCTTTTATGACTATGCAAGGCCAGTTGTCTTATTTCAGGCAATAGCTGAGCATGCATATTTTGCAGGCTCAAGAAAAAGAAAAGCTATATTCCCTCTACCAAACAGTATAAAATAAAATCAGAAGAGGTATGTTTTTCACATTCAGTATTCCTCAGCCTTCTTTTTCTGACTCTTCAGGCTTATAAATCTAAGAGTTACCCCTGCTTGCCTAGTGCTGATGTCTCTCTGCTCAATCCGGGGCTTGACTCGACTCTTCATATGTATAAGAAATAGAAATGACTTAAGTTTTTTGGAGAGTTTGGGGTTAGATCACTGCTCTTGAAACCCCAAACCTGGCATATTGTTAAAAGTCAGTGACTATAGTAAGCTCAAGAATGAAAAAAAGCATAGGGGAAAAAAAACCTCAAGAATCAAAGTTTCTGGGTCATTTTTAATGTTGATTTTGTCTCACATATAGGTAGGAGTAGCTAGACAACACTTCCACTGTGGCAGCAGTTTTCACTAGGAGTTCAAAGTACTTACAAAAATAGCATTTCAGGTGGTAGGACAGAAAACAAGGCTGGTGTTCTTTTCTGCCCTGATTCTTACTTGCTGTCATCTTAAGCAAGATTGCTAAGCCCCAGAAAGGCAACCCTAAAATGGGAAGGCTCTCTCTTCCCTTTTCTAATATCCTAGCAGGATTAACTGGAGTTAAAATAAAGATACTAGATGTAAACAAAGTCTTCTAATGTTTTGTTAGGAGGAGGTGACAATATCACTCTGTTCCTGCATCATTTTTTCAGTGCAAGGGAGAGAGAGAGCACATGCTGCCAATAAGCTCAGCACCCCAAGAGCCAAAAGGAGGGTGCTTTGGAAGGAACACCAGGGGGCAGCTCTGGGCTCTAGTTTAAGCCTGACCTGGGTTCAGGTTTTCTTTATCTTGCTTTTGCATTAGAGTGCAATGTCACTTACAGGAACATGTAGATGAGAGGAGCTCTTTTCTGTCCTCTATAAAAAAGGCAATGATATTCTGCTAAGGAGTCACTCCTCCTTAGATTAAAACAATAGTTTTGTGTTTCTCCAATTCATATATGAAGGCCTTTAGAGTGAGAGGCAGTTATTTCTTAATTCTTAGACCAAGAAATCTCTTGTAGATATAATTATTAGTATAAAATCATTATACTTCAACTATTCATTACTTTGAGCAAGGAAAGCCAGCATATCTGAAATCTGGAAAATCCCCAAGTTATTTTTGAGAATGATATTCATATTTCCTTATCTATTTATCTGATCAAATTTGTCAGGTGATCAGATTTGAATTTTACCTCCTCATTCTACAGTTGCTCACCCTTTGGTGGGAGCACCAGGAAGCAATGAAATGTGCAAAAGAACAGGTGAAAGGAGGATGATCCACAAATGGAGTAACCATTTCTCAAATGATAGAGAGTAGATTATGTCAGGACTCAGAAGCTCAAGTCTATGTGACAGCATCTTGCAGCAAAGCTTAGATGAGATCATGACCTTCTATTAGACCATCACAAGTGTGCAACAGGGGAGTCGGCCCCAAAGATGTGAAACCTAGAAATGTTTTTTATCTCAATTCAGAATCTGCCACCTGTAGGACCTCTTCTGACCATCTTGACAGGCTCTAACCTGTCCTACGTGTCTGTGTTACAGTTAAATATACGATAATGTTTACAGCAGGGAAGAATAATTAGCTAACTGACTAAATGATCTCTTCACACTTTAAACTTATAGATCTAAGGAATCAGCGCATGGAAGTATTTACTGAGCCCTATTCTTCGATATATATATTAAAAATCCTATACAATCCAATGTACTTTTAAGTATAAATGTACTTTCATTGATTAATTGTAACCAAAGAAAAACTTCTTAGCTTAGTTTTATGAATAAAACAGTAAACAGTTAATGAAATTTCTTAATAATTCTTCCTTGCTGTGAACATTAGGTGATAAGTTGCAATGCGTTAAATGGAAATTGTTTAACTGTGCTCCATATATTGTCACTCTGCTAATATTCTCAGCAACCAAAGGGCAAGAAATCATGCTTTCTTTCTTTGACTTCTCACACTATATATATACATATATAAATGACAATGCTAGTTTCCATGGATAGTCTCTTAATAAACTGGATTTCTTCTGCTCCCTAATAACTCTCAAGGTATTTTACATTCCTTTAATTCTGATGAAATTCATTGTTATTAATAACCAGGTATAAAAATGTTACTCAAAGATAGGTTCTAACAATCTATAGTTACTTTTTTAAATAGAGGCTTATACTTAGTGATTGATACAAATCTCATTAAATTGATGAAAAAATTCCAATGGATACTAATTCTTACAGCATTTTTGTCTTCTCTATAATGCCTAGAACATCATTGCTCATTGAACACTATAAAATCTGTCAAATAGCGTTTAATATCTGGCAGAGGGAACATGGCCTTAATGGACAACTATGTACTGACAATCAACAGAAATGCATGCATGTTTCACATACTCTCAAAAATTTAATAGCACAGCAAAATCTTTAAATGAAGATTACTATGGAAGACAGAAAAGCAAAGAACTACATTAAGTATTCCTTTGCCAATAGCATGAATGTTTCAATTTTCTGTTGTTTGGTTTGAGGAAAAAGAGAGGAAGAGACTGGAGTCAGTGTCCCAGGACAGGCTAGGGCCATCTGCACCCTTGCAAACGAAGGTCTGAGGCTATTATTAGAGCAGCACAGTGACAGTTGAGCCCATGTGCATTGATGGCATTCAGCTTTAAATAAGTTTTCTATTTAAAATTTCCTAAGGGCAATCTCTCAAGTATTGGCATACACAAGGACCCAAACCAAAGAATCAAAAAACAAGTGAACTTTTAAATAAAATGTACATGCCTAGTTTTCCTCAGTACTGGGGAGCTTATTATAAGCTGAGGCAAATTCAATCTCTCCTTGCAGTTATTCTCCATCCAGAAGGAGTCAATGCCGTCGCCTGAGTGGAGTCAACCAAACAAGGTGACGTTCCTATACCAGAGATTCCCTTACTGAAGGTCTATTGTTCGAAAGCCTGGCTTTGGGTTCAAATTTGTTCATGTTCATACTATCTCATGCGGAAACACCTTGGTGTAGCGCGTTCACGTTCTAATACTTTTCAAAGAGAATGTTCTAATGTTGGGATCACCCATTCTGGACCTCTGGGCTCCTAAACTACTTGAAAAACTGACAATAGTTCTGGGGGGAATGGACACCGAGAGTCCAGGAAAGGTGAGGAAAGAAGGAGGAACTAAAGGCAAGAGGTGTGACCACCAAAAGGGCCTGCACCCAGATTATTCAGATAATTTCCTAGTGAGGAAACTGGTATCAGCTGGTGAATGACTGCATCTGCCACAAGGAGAGGACTGGCAGTAACAAGCACCAGATGGATAAAGTCAGTAGCAAGTGTCACTGGGCATTTTCCCTGGGGCTTCCTTCAGGCATTACCAGTCTCCTGTTAGGAGACTCAACATCGCCGCTGGGGAGTGCAGAGGGTCATGGCTACTGAGCTCTGGGACAGTGTTGTGAGGATTGTCTTCAAGGCACATGTTTTAGCCCTTGGTTTTTCAGTCACCCAAAATGGGGTTATCAACTCTACATGTAGTATAGTTTACTTAAAAAATTTAAGTCTTCCTGAAAAAAGTAGAGTGTGGTAGAGGAGGAAAGAGCATTTTAATCCTATTTTCAATGACCACCTGAAACACTGAGCTCTCTGCAATATACTCCTGCTCTCCCTAAATTTAGCCTGGGGTAACAGTGACCTTATTGCACATCTTCTGCAGTCTCTCTTATCTGTAGGAGAAAGACTTAAAATGCCAAGTTTTTGTTTTTAGTGTATTTTTAATTAAAATAAATTCATTTTGCTGTGGAACTGACCTTCCTGCAGATGGTTTCAGGTGGGTTGCAGAGAGCTGGTATTTAGTAAAGCAAACTGTGGCTGTGCTACAGAAGAAACACACATTTGTTGCAGAAATCATTTGTCTGAATAAACTAAAAGAATAAAAGAAAATTCCAAATCCCAGTGAAATTTTGATCTTCCTGTATAACTGTGGGTGGCTTCATGAAATAGTGACCAGGGATCACAGATGAAGAATGAAGGAAGTAGCTTTGTCCTAGAATCTAGTTTCCCCAATTGGTCTTGCTTCATGAGAACTTACTGCAACAGTTAAATTTTTATTCCTACATTCTGATATTTGCACATTTAAAAACATATCTTCTGGTTTGCTCTCCTACATGTATTCAACATCTGAATTGAAATGAGTTTTCTTGGTCTCCTTAAGTATAACAGACCTCTCTGATTACCAAGGGACAATTATTACCCCCCAAAAGCCAGTTGCCCACTTGATTTTAGGAAATTGACGTGCAAGCGCATGTACAAGTGCACGCGTATGTACATGTGACATGCGCACACACGCACATTTAAACCAAGAAAGACAGCAAAAAGGCACCAAAGAGGGAGCCTTATTTTAAGCTGGCAGGGTGACAGCCCCTTGCATCTTTTGGTTTGGGTGGAGTATCACCAAAACAGAATAGCAGGTGTTGAGAGATTTCAGGAGAACTAGTTGATAGTCACCTAGCCTTGTACCTGGTTGTTCCTCTGACAGTGTTAGGATAGAGGACCATATAGCGTGGGCAGAAGGGTGGGGGTGAGGAGGAAAGCTTTGCTATCAGACAGAGGCTGCCAGTCCTTATGGGACTGGGCTGAGAACAACAAGGTGCAATAAGAGGAATCAGAATAGTAAGAAAAGCAATTCTTTTCCCAGGGCCAGGCCAAATTCTGTTGCATCCCCGATTCCAGGCCTGCTATCATGTCTTCAAGGCCCTTCTCAGCCACTTTCTTAGTGGCTCCATGGCCACAGTCCCCACCTGCCTGGTGCCCCTACATGGCACTCTCCCTGCCTGTGGCCTCTGCTTTCAGTGGGTCTGTGGGTTACAATTCCCCTTCTTTGCACCTGGTGATTCTCCCTGTTAATCAACAGCCCAGAAAGCTGCCCCAAGGGCTACAGGTAAGCCAGGCCAAATGAGAATAGCCAATGTTAATGTGTGCTGCGATGGCATGTTGTTGGGCGTGGGGCTGATATTAATGTGATGAGACAGCTTACTGCAACGCCCCTCCGCACGGGGCAGGTGCGGGGGAGAACGAGTGGAGGATCAAATCAGCAGCTGCATCACAGAGTTCGTGTTTGAATGATCTTTCCACCATGATCAGTTCTAGCATGCTTAAACAGTTTTCATTGGCATGCAGAAGGATCAGCTGCTCTTAGTATCTTACCCTCATCCCTTCAAATCGTGATAAGGCTCTTAAGGGTCTCAAAGCTCTTAGGGTCCTAAGGGACTTTATGGCACCTAGTTCCGAGTAGCCCAGGGCATTAGCTATAAGGCTGACTAAAGAGACCTACACAGAAACAGAAGAGAAAAACAAAAACAAAAAAGGAACAAAAACAAAAAGAAAAGAAAACAGAGGTTCCAGAGTGTTAGAATAAAGCCCCTAGCACTGATTATACAATTGGGCCCCCCAGGGAGAGGAAGTGGGTTAAGCACCAGCTGCCTACTTCAACTTGGACTCAAACGACCTGGAAGGAAAGGTGGTTGAGAGAGGCAGAAGAAAAAACACAAAGGGAAGAGGGAACTGAGAGAAGGGCGGTGGGGCAGACACACACAGTCGGCAGAGGGAAGAGGCTGAAGGGGGCGGGAGGGCGAGCAAGTCCCACTGGGAGGAGAGGAGCCTGAACAGATGACAAAAACCTTACCCTCGCCCTTTACAGTCTCTGCAGGTCCCAGAAGTTCCCATTAAATTAAGCCAGACAAACTTAAGGGTACCTATGGAAAAGAATACAGATAAATACACACACTCCACACAAGCTGCCCCCTCCTGAGCTCATTCACCACGGACTTCCAACAGGGACAAGCTCTCTTACTCCTGGCTGGCAAGAAACCATTTGTTTGAGAATCTGATGAGTCACGACATCCTCAGAGGAAACATTCGGGAAGTACCACAGCTGAGTCTGCAGGTCCCAAGAGGAGGAGGACTGAATGAGGAAACTGCGTGACAGAGTTTTGGCTCCATGAAACCCACTTAAGTAATTCTTCTGCCTCTCACTTTTAGCTATAATAATCCTTCTATTTTTTAACTATAACCATGACTCCTTCATGGCCATGAGAGCTTGGCTGGGTCTGGAAAACTAAATCCATACTTTCCCCCACAATCCCCATTTTTTTCTCTCCAGAACAGCCCAAAGGAATCAGCCTGTCCCTCCCAGGACAATCTGCTATATTGCTCTCATCATTAGAACAACTGGAAGGATTCTTGGAAGAATGAAAACATTTTTATTTGTAGATGAGGACATTGAGACCCACACACAAAAATCTGCCCAGTGTCACACTGGCAATTCTGGAGCCAGGATTAAAGACCCTGATTCCCAGGCCAGAGCTCTTTCTTCCATGGACAGATCACCTCCCCCAACTGGCAAGCTGAATGACAATATCCAATAGAGGATTACTGGTACTGAACAATCCAGTGTAGAATGTATTGCCACACTGGGGAGAAGTCTGCAGGTCTCTAGGCCTAGAGTCATGGTCAAAGGCTTCTCCTGCTGTCCCTGAGGCCAGCTGACCCTGTCCAACCAGGGTCCTCAGAGAAGTGACCATGATGAGCCCTTAGCACTGCACCAGGACAGCCCTTAACACTGCACCTGACCCAAGAGATGTGGAGCTATCTGGGGGGCAGCAGACCTGAAAACACCTTGAAATGATTAAATCCTAGAATGCCTGGGCTCTGAGTTCCTTAGAGACATCTTTCCTTACACCGCATCACAAATTCTGGGATAGGTTAAGATGTTCCCATCAATTCTAAATTCCCTCTACTGGGAAGTGGTGGTCACAGACTCTAAATTGATGATATTTTCAAGCAAATTTAGGGGAGAAAGAAAGAATCTATTAGTTTCATTTGTTGTGTTCAACTGAGGGCTTGTATGCTTTGATTCTATCTCACTGCACTGTAAAGAACTTTTTAAAAAAAATGAAGACATTTATAATTAAGCAGCAGGACTGGCAGGGGTAGAAGTAGGTCAATGACCTAGTAGGAGTCAGGGGTGAGCAGACTTAGAGTTTCAGTTTTTGAAAGTGATGTGAGCCTTTGTCTATGCATGTTTTCATAATCCATTAGTGTGGGTATCTTCTCTGAGTCCTAGGCAGCATCCAAAGCAAATCTGGAATTAAATGCTGCCCTACTAGGCTACTCATGTTCTTTGAAGGGTAGATGGTTTAGAGTTCATCTGGAATACAGTAGCACCAACTATTTTCCCTTCCTCCACCATTATCAGTAAGAACCTACATGGAGGTGTCTTTTGCCTACTATTGCCAAATGCAGCCAACTCAACCTTAAATGGTCTAAAATTGCCAGAATCTTAGTGAGAGCTTAATAGGTACATGTGAAAGTAAGCTGTCCCATCCCAACAAAGTAACTGGGCACAAAATAATCCTGAGTCAACTTTACCTGTGAAACTGCCAGGTAAAGACTGTAACAAAACTGAGCTTCTAGTGGCTATAAGCCCCATACAAGGCAAGAAGTCACCAGCTCTTTGTGGGGTGGTGATTTACCTGAAAACAATAGGCCTGAAGGGGAGAAGGGTGGAGAAAGCGCAGACGCCAATCCAGAGGCTGGCTGTAAACATTGCTCAGATACAACGTGCTGCTCAGTTGATCAATCTGGCCAAGATCTCCCAAGACAGGATCAGTAAAAGGGTCCTAGCTGGGTTATTCCTTAGCCACTCTAACAATACTCTGAGTCTCTATGTTAAACTTTCACTGCAGATAATCAGAACATTGCTTAAATATACTTTAAGGAAAGAATCAAACCTTGAAGAAGTTGAGGAGAGGTCGAAATTCAGGGTACCTAGGCTGTAGGCATGGAAAGAGGGAAAGACACTAGGTGACTTTTCCAAACTGATGTGAACATTTTCAAATGGAGAATGTTTTCAGCTGTCTGAAGTCAGGACGAGGTGAGTAGTCTCTGAAAGTTCCCATCCAGGAATCGATATGCTATTAACCTCTGGATATGATGGGATAAACTTCCCTGAAAAGATGACAAAATTCCTTTACAGGACAAGACCTCCAATGCAGGTAAGGACCTGAGCAAAATAAAATGTTATCTCTGTTCAGGAACTCACATGGCTTATAAACAAAGAGAATAAGCTTTGGAAGTTGTCTGGATCATCCCTGTTATTCTAAAAATTACTCTTAGCAGCTTTAAGGGGCAATAAGAATGAAAATACATCAAGGAAAAAAACATGGTGATGAATAACAGAATCAGACGCCAAGTCACTGCTGGATGAGATGGAAGAGAGTCTCAGAGATGGAGCTAAATCAGGACCTACAATTTACACCCACTTGATGTCCTAAAATGCCAAAGGCACTAGACTTTTTACCCAAAAGGATAGCAGAAACTCTGAGTTGCAGATGTCCGGATATCAGTCTAAGCCTTATTGTCCATCCACAACTACAAAGTGGCAACCAGTGGCAGCCGTGGGGCCGTTGGGGCTGAACCCCGAGCACATCCTGCTCCCAGCTGTGGTTATTTGCATATGTGTCTCACCTTTTCAGGTCCTAGACAGAAGTGCCAAGTCTTCTACTCTCTCTATTCCCCAGGAGGCTTTATTGTGGGGGCTCAAAAAACGTTTGATATGTGAGGACTAAATGCTGTTTGGTCCAGGAGAAGTCAACAGAAGGGAGGGTCCTGGGAGGGCCGTGTTCCCAGAATGCTGGATTACCGCAAGCTTGGCATCAGGCCGGAGGGGCCCTGCAAGCTAGTGTGAGCTCTCCAGGGGCTGGAGCCCTTGTTGGTCCCTGTGATTTCCTATGGCTTCTGGGACAATTCTACACAAAGAATGGTATTTGATCTATATTTGTTTACTAGTAACTGGTACAGAGGTGTTCTCAGGAGCCCCTGATGGGTCTCATGGCAATGTAAGAATCCAGCAACTTCTAAAAGCTAGGGAAATTTATGGCTTATTGTCAATTGGCTACATGTGTGTCTCATGCTTTTTACTTCTCTGTCACCTAGAATAAAAAGTGATAAAAATGTTTGCTAAGTAAATGGTGATGTGTAGGAATGTTAATGCTTCAGCAGCTTATTTGGGTACTCAAGGAACATGAGATACCTGATCAATATCCTTGAATTCTGGGGCTGCCCACTCCAGAGAGAAGAGAAGTAGAGTAGTTCAGGTTACTGTAAACAAGACACAAAGGTCACGATGGGAAAGATCTGTCCCAAATCCCAGCTTCCCTAGGACCACTAGAAGTGTGGTGTACATGTATTTGTCTGAGTCCTTGGAGGGTCCAGAAGATGAGGGGCTTCTAGGACTCTCACTTGTGTCCCACTTGACTCTAAGAAGTCCTGAGGAGTTACTGTGAAATGAAGACTCTATGGCACATCCCCTGTTCTGCAGAAAGAGAGCCAGCCCAGTGTCACTTCAGTTCTCTGGGCCTTCTCTCAAGCACTGCCCCAAATTCTCAGAACTCAAACTTTCCATCTGGGGAGGCAGAGGCCCTTCCACCACCTTGCAATCAGTCAGCCTGCAGGGAGTGCTGACACCTCCTGCTACGGGGCCTCCAGGTGGCACCATCTGGGTACCTAGTTAGTACACTTTAAGGGTAGAGGGTGACCTTCTCAGCTATAAAATTTGGGCATCTTCCCAGAGGCTTGCTTTATGAAATGGGGATGCAAATGGGAGCACAGTGGCTGCTCTTGGAAGGAGTCCTCAACCATGGAAGCTACAGACACTGCGCTGGAAGGAACGCATTTGTAGGACCAGAGATCATTATTGGTGCAGGGTGCTGGGCTGCTGTTATCTGAGAGGGATCTTCATGCTGCTCTATTATAGACCCCAGAGGCACCCGATAATTGACCATACAGTGAAATCTATATTTTAAATGTACCAATTCGGCCTCCAAACACTCCACTTTCTTGGTGCTTAGCCTTTAGCAGGAAGTGAATTCTCCACAGGTCTTGGTCCTGAAATTCCTGTTTACCCTTTCTTTCAAATGCTCATTTGGCTGGAAAAAAGAAGCTTTAGCAATTACACAGAATAAGAAGCACTCATCATGATTAGAAAAACCAATACAGAAAAAGTACTGGTTGCTGGTCCAGGGAGATAGAGTTACAGATGATGCGGCTTCCATCCTGAAAAATAACATGGGAGGTAATGCCCACCAAGCCTTGGAGATGGTCCTGGAACCTGTAAGAAAAAAGGGTTTTCTTAAGTTTGATCACCACCGTGGAAATGGCAATGTGTGGGAAAAAGGGGGGTTATTTTGGTGTGAACTCCCCCTCCTGCTGACAGACTGACTTGTTCAGATGGATCTGGTATGAAGACTTCAGTTGGATGGAAATGTCCCTGGGAATGGTCAGCAGGAGAGCCCCCCTAGATCCCACCACCAGCTCTACTTCAGCAGCGCCCACCCCACCCTTCACCCCCCTCCTGGTGGCTGAAAGTTTGGGGCAAGAACCTTCCTAGTAACAAGGTGCTTTGACACCAATGATTCCACTTCCCATTTCTAATCTCAATCTTTTAAACCAAACCACGAGAGTAAAGGGCTGGTTGCTTAGTCCCTAGAGCAAATGGAGTGACTTCAGAGCTCCCCTCTCAAAGTTAAGACCTGAATGCTCTGAAAGGAACTTTACTCAAACCTACATCTACATCTTGTCCAGCACCCTGGGCCCCCAGGCAACTCCAGCAATCAGAGGAAGCAAGTTCCCTGTTTCTGTTTTCCTGCTAGACAGGGTGGGATGTAAAAAGCAGGACACGTACAGCCACAATGAGGAAGTCCAGCCAGCACCAGGCGTTGGTGAAGAACTTGACGAAGCCGTAGGCTGTCCACTTGAGCAGCATCTCCAGAATGAAGATATAGGTGAAGACTTTGTCAGCATACTCCAGGATGGTGCGGATGGTCTTCCTCTGCTCGATGTAGATGTCCTCGAAGGCCTGGAAGACAGGCAGCGCTGCCTACGGTGCCCAGGAGCAAACCAGCCTGAGGCCGGCCCATCGCCAGCCTCCTGTCTTACACTGTGCTCCTCTGTTACATGTGGCTTTTTTAAAAAACAGTTTTACTGAGACATAATTCACATATCCAGTTTGACTATTTCAAGTGTACAATTCAATAGCATTCAGTATATTCAGAGTTGTGCATCCATCAGCACAACTAATTTTAGAATATTTTCATTACCCTCAAAAGCAGCCCACACTCTCCAGTTGTCACCTCTAGTCTCCTTAGCTTCCCCTGGGCCTAGATAACCACTCATCTTTCTCTCTCTACAGATCTGCCCATTCTGGACATTTCATATAAATGGAATGATACACATGGGGTCCTTGTGACTAGCTTCTTGAGCTGAGCATGGTATTTTCAGTGTTCACCCTTTTGCAGCTTACATCCCTAACCTTCATTTCTCTTTATTGATGACTCATGTTCTGTTGTACAGCTATATCATGTTTTGTTTACCCTTCCTCAGTTGATGGACATTTACGCTGTTTCTACTTTTTGGCTATTGTGAATAATGCCGCTATGTGTACAAGTTTTTAGGGGGATGTTTTCATTTCTCTAGGATATATACCTAGGAGTGGATCATAGAGTAACTCTATGTTTAATTTTTTGAGGAGCTGCCAAACTGTTTTCCAAAGTGGCTGTACCATTTTACGTTCCCTCCAGCAGTAAACAAGGGTTCTAATTTCTCCATGTCCTTGCCAAAACTATATATATTTATACGGCAAAATCTTTTCTCCTTTCAGCTTTTGATACCACAGATACAGATGGAGGGTCACAGGGCTGGGGAACACTAGGAAGAAGAAAATCATAATACTCCTTCCTTTCTGTGGAATCCTGAATGAGGTAACTCCGACATGGCAGTCTGAGCATTCTCATGCGCAGAGTGGTGGACTGCGGTGGTGCGGTGCTACGAGGAAATTCCTGAAGCATGAGAAAAATCTAGCCGTGGGAAAAAGCCCTGTGTCACACAGTGGGAGGAGCCTGCTCTGAGCAGTTCCAGAATCGGGCTGCCTGCAGACTCATCTTCCAAAATAGAGGCACATGGCCACCAGGCCGTTCAGTTCCATTACTGGGCAGTGGGGAGAAAGGACACAGGTCCGTGGTTCCTCTCAGGGTCTTGAAACAAATAAATCCCCTCTGCTTAATGGAAAAAGCAACAGCTTCCATTCCAAATTTTCCCTTACCTCCATTTGTAGAAATCCACTCTAAAACCCTACCTATGTGAGCCGCCTGACGTGGATGCCCCGGTCCCAGGGCTCTGACCCTCCCCTGTAGTCCCATCATAGTCCCGCTCTAGTCTTTTCTTGGGCATTTTAGGCATTGCTTCCCTTTGCTGTTGTAAGTCTCGTGCCTACTACTGCACAGTCTTCGTGTGCAGAGCCAAGGAAGGCGAGCAGTGAATAAAGTTCCAAAGTTTTGTGTCACTGCTGCTTTAATATTTTTCTGTGGAGATGGGAGAGAGAAGACTCAGAGGACGGGGCACTTCCCTGTTATTTTAGGTTTTTGTTTACTAGATTTGAATAATAATGAGACAACAGTAAAACACCTTTCTAGAACTACTGGTCTAAGTCTGATCTTCCCTTTCATCAAGGGCAGAGACCTTATCTTGTGATCCTGGGCACTTTCCCAGGGCTGAGGGAAGTACTGGGTGAACACCTGTGGATGCAATAAATGACCCGGGGCGGGCAGCACAGTCTGGCTCCCCTTCACTCAGATCAAGAGCAGCAAGCCTGCTTTTTTGCCTCTTGCTTTAGTCCAGACGCTTTCCTGCATTGACCTTCTCCTGACTTCCCGTGGTGCCCTTCACCCCTGGGCTCTGCTTTACCGCATGTAACTGCCTGTCTCGGCTTCTCTTATTCTCCTTTGCAAGTCAGTGGAACTGTTCAAGTCACTGTCAGGACCTTTCTGCCCCCCCGACTGTCAGGATCTTTAACACTGAATCTGGGGTTTTTCCCTTGTTATTTTTTGCTTCCAGCTTAGGCTTTGATTCCGCACCTACACGAATATGGCAACCTTCTTTGAAAACATTTCAAAACCCTGCCTTCCTCACCTTTCCCTTAACTACAAGAAGGAAAATGTGAGGTGGCTCTAGTCCCTGCTGTCCTCAAACCTACTGGACTTGGAAACATTTTGCTCCCCCCCAGACCCTGTCCAGGTCCCCTCCGTTACAATTCAACTAAAAATGAAAGAAGTGCCAAGACAGCAAGGGAGGAGCCCGCGAGTTAAGAGCTCTGTGTCTCACTGATTAACAATCAACACTTAAAACCACCGCAAATAAATAACTTTTATACCAGAGACATGACTCAACATATTCGCTAAGGCCCCGGGTTCTCCAAATCCAGCAGGGTGTGCGGGGACAGTGGGCGGACGAACATTGCCTCTCTCTTATCTTGGCCAACTGAAGTGTAAGTAAGTAACAAGAGGTCTGGGGTGTCAGGTGGAAAAGGAAAATTCATTTAGGCAGTTGCTTAGAATGGAGCAAACTCAGCAGTGAAGATATTTGGCAATTTTTATTTGTATTTGCATCCTAATAAAAGGGGGACTTAGGCTTGAGAGTGACTATGCTGAGTCTAAAGAAGGTGAAGATATGGACAAGTGTGGTTTCTAATCCCAAAGGCTCAAAACACCAGCCCAAAGCACTTTAGCAGACCATCCTCCTTGGGTCCACAGCCAATCTGTGTTCTCATCCAGCTTTCCCCCTAGTTCCCGCAAACCCTTCCCCAGCCAGTCCCTCATCACAGTCCGCCCTGGACCTCACCAGGGCGCCGCTGCTGAGCAGAATCATGAAGATGATGAAGGTCTCGAACCAGTTGTGCTCCACGATGAGGAAGCAGGTTTTCCGCAGGATCCACCAAGACTTGCCTAGACCTTCTTCAATGTTGACCTGGCAGCACTTGAATCGCTGGACACAACCTGGCACCAGAGGGACAGGCAGGTCAGAGCACGCACGGGTGCCCTGCCCAGAGCTGCCCTCTCCTCCATCTCCCGGGCCCCACCACACGGCTGGGAGTACAGGAGCTGGACAGAACATCTGATCAGAAATGTAGAGGGTGGCAGGGTGGAGACAATGCTGCAAGGCCACGAGAGCAAAGCCCTTGGGAGTTGGCAAGATGTGCTAGCAAGAAGCAGTGAGAGACAGGAGAAAAGGGCAGTCAGGAGGCAGACACTGCCATGGAAGAACAGGCCTTTTTAATGCAAGGTTTCGGGCTGATGCCAAGAGAAAACGGACAAAGAAGTTTGAGAACAGAAACTTGTTATAGCTAAGAGTCAAAAGAGAAAACAGTATCGACTTCTGTTACAATGGTGAGGTGGAGGTCTTGAAGATAGCCACCGAGAAACGCCCTCACCTAACCACTAACTCTGGCAGAGACTTGTCTGTGAGTGGTGCAAATGCCATATACCCAGCCCTTTTTGCCCCCTTCACCTTCTGTGAAGCAGGCATCTGGATCCAAGTATTCCTCTGGCTGTTCCACAGGGACTTCCTCTACTTCTGGTTTGATGTCAATGGTGCTTCCTTCCGAGGAGCTAGTGTCATCCAGTTTCTAGATACACAAGGAAAAGGGAGGTCAAGCAAATGCAGAGCAACACGGCCCCATACCCTGACTACCTCTGGCAGGGATGACGCACCAGTTACAATTCTCTATAGCTCTTATTACAAACTCATCATCACCTAACTCCTGCTGCACAGAGCCCTCAAACTCCTGTCTGGATGGGGGATAACCTTTAAACCCACTCACAGATGACAGTGATGCACCCTGAACAAAACGTGACACAGCTCAGACACATCACTGGCAGGGAAGAACTCCAGGGGGTACTCCAGGCTGGGACCCAGATGATCCAGAAGCCGTGGAGCTAGACCTTGGAACATCTCAGGGATCTAGGTAGCCTAGGGAAGGCCTAGAATGACACTTAAGGGGCAAGGAGAGGTAGGGTTGGTCCTCAAAGTTAATTGACTGCTCCAGAATCTCTCCATCAAGCCCACCGCTGAGCCAATCCCTGGGGCTGGCGGAGCCCTGTTCTCACACGGGATCAAGGTTGGTTTCTAGACTGGGACCTTACATCTTTGCTGCCTTCAGGATCCGACTCGCTGCTAACGTCCTCTGTGTTGAGGTTCTCAAAATCAGACTCGCCTACTGCAATGGGCACCCGCACGGTCAAGTTGGGGTTGTTTATGAAGGACATGTGGTCCTCATCGATGATGTACTTCTCCACACTGCTGCCGATGCCACTGGTTGTGCCATTGCCGTTCTTCTGGAAGTCCCCATTCCGGTGGATGTCTGCGCCGGTGTGGTTGGCGATGCAGTTGGCCTTCTTTTCATACAGCTCGTCCAGAGGTTTCACTTCATCGGCCTCACGTTGCTTGAAGTGGGCCTGCATGAAGGCATGCACTTTCAGTTTGGTCCAAGCCACACCCTTCTTGATGCGGATTACTGAGATCTGTAGGTTGTTCATTTCCCCATCATCATCCGTGGCTGCCAGATTGTCTGCACTGAAAGAGCTCAGGAGCAAGGCCAGAAACAAGTTCAGCACCTGTGCCAGTGGCATTAGAAAAAAGGAGAGTGAATACAGAATGTTCAGGTAAAGTTACCTACTGAACTACAGTTGCAAACTGGAGCCCACAGACTCATGTGACAGACTCTGGAGTTTCCAGCGTTCTCTTTGACTCACATAGTGTTTTAGGTGCTCATGTCACTAGATGGGCATCTTATTTGGATTTGGTTCTAATATAAGGAGTTTAGTACCTCTCTTCTTGGTTCTTTCATAGTTTTACATAACTATATATGTACCCCTAAATATATTCTTTCCTTACAATCAGATAAAGCAAAGGCTGTATCCATTTTAGAAAAAAAAATTCCCCAAAATAAAAATGAAAAGTTGGACATGGACTATTGGGGAGGATTCAAAGAGTGCATAGATACAACGAATGCATGAGCAGATGCTTCAGAGGACTTATGTTAGAAAAAAATTAGGCCGGGGAGTCATGCTTTCATACAACAAATCAACAAGGTAGAACTGAAATATATTTTGTCATCTTATTTTACTAATTAATTTTATTTTTTCTTCATAGTACTGCAAAATCAAATAGCTTTAGCAAGACTATGATGTTCTTTTGTGTTCTGTTGTATATTTAAGTGTCAAGCCATAAGATATGTTTTAATTATTTTTGTTTTAATTTCCTATTTTATCACATTGGGCATTACGATTAATTAATCAATTTTTACTAAGACTTACTTTTGAAAAGTGGGAGAGGTGTTCACTTCTTGATATACACTGGGCCCTTACTTTGTCACACTTCTGAAGGAGAGTAAGGCATACATTTTAGGTGGAGGTAATAGTATGTGTAGAGTGGAAGGGATGGAAACAATAAATGAATTGTATGTATTTGGATTATCTGGGCCATTTGTAGAATTACAAAGGAATATGGTTGGCAAAATGGGGTGAGTTAGAAAGGGCTCTGAAGGCCACGCTGAGGGATTTGAATTTTAATTGGATCCACTATTGGTCCTTGAGTAAAGGAGTCACAAATGATAAGAGGTTTGAGGAAGTCATTTGTAGTAGCTACATACAGAGAGTTGGGAACCTGTTACTTGTGTGGGTTGATAAGGGTCTGGATTGGGCTATAGAAATCTCAAACCTTAGCATGCATAAGAATCTCCTGGGGTGGGATGTTTTCTAAAAATACTATTTCCTAGGCCTCATCTGAAAGATTCTGATCCAGGGATCTGGTGTGGGGCCTGGGACTCGGCCTGCCGTAATGAGTGAAAGTCAGGTTACTGTGCTGCAGGTGCTTTCAGGGCCCACCTTTAGGGATGGATGGGTAACAGAAATGGGAAGGAAGGGGCAGATCTTAGAAATACTATGAAGAAAGATGCATGTACAGAAACAGTACATGGAAAGATGTATGGAAGACATCTGATATTTACTGGGAATGGAGAGAAGTCAGAAGGATTCCTAGAGACTAGATGGACAGAAGGACTGAGCAAAGGGGAACCTGGAAAGAGTCATCAGAAGCAGAAATACTTGACTTTGTTGTGTGCTCAGGTATCTGTAGACAGTCTGGGAAGATGCCCTTGAGACAACTGAGAACAGGAGCCTGGAGAAAGGGTGGCAAGGAGGTCAGGACGGGTAAGTGTTAATCCCACTACATGCCCAGCAGGTGACAGAGAGCTGCATTCACTGAAGGAGTGGAAAGACCAGAGGGATTAGGACTGAGGGATGGTTGGGAATGGAGAACAGGGATTGGGGAGTGGGGGGAGTAGATTAAAGAAACATTAGAGCATCTATTTTTATAGGTCCAATGGAAGAACAGGGTGATCATGGCTGTTTCAGAGGCTAGTGAGTAGGAACCCTCTGCTGGTATGCTTCTCTATGGCAGAAAAAGGAAGAGGAATGAATATGGATGAGCTCAGAAGGGATGGTGTGAGTTTGCCTTCTTCCAACCCTCCTTGCTCTGTACTTACAAGTGGGATTTGGCCTGATATGAAAGATGAGGACTTCTCAAACTTTGGAGAGCATGAGAATCACCTGGGGATCTTGGTAAAAATGCAGATGCTGATTCAGTAGCTCTGGGGTGGGGCCTAAGATTTTGCACTTCTAACATATTCTCAAACTGCTAGTAGTCCTCAGATCACACTTTGAGAAAAGAGGTATTAACGTCTCTGCTGGTGAATGTTCTATATACAGAGGCAGAAGACATCAGGTGAGTAGATCAGAGTAAAACAAGAACGTGCTTTGCCTTTTCTACAAATCAGATAAACCCTAAGATGGTTTAGGTCAGTGGTTCCTAACGGAGGGCAATTTTGCCCCATGGAGGACAGTTAGCAAAAAGTCTGGAGACATTTTTGGTTGTCATGCTTGGGCTGTGGGTTGCTATTTGCCAGTAAAGGGTAGAGGCTCAGGATGCTGCTGAATATCCTGTAACACACAGGACAGTTCTGCAACAAAGAATTATCTAGCTCAAAATGTCAATAATGTCAAGGTTGAGAAATTTTGATGGGTAACAGAAATGGGAAGGAAGGGGCAGATCTTAGAAATACTATGAAGAAAGATGCATGTACAGAAACACTACATGGAAAGATGTATGGAAGACATCTGATATTTACTGGGAATGGAGAGAAGTCAGAAGGATTCCTAGAGACTAGATGGACAGAAGGACTGAGCAAAGGGGAACCTGGAAAGAGTCATCAGAAGCAGAAATACTTGACTTTGTTGTGTGCTCAGGTATCTGTAGACAGTCTGGGAAGATGCCCTTGAGACAACTGAGAACAGGAGCCTGGAGAAAGGGTGGCAAGGAGGTCAGGACGGGTAAGTGTTAATCCCACTACATGCCCAGCAGGTGACAGAGAGCTGCATTCACTGAAGGAGTGGAAAGACCAGAGGGATTAGGACTGAGGGATGGTTGGGAATGGAGAACAGGGATTGGGGAGTGGGGGGAGTAGATTAAAGAAACATTAGAGCATCTATTTTTATAGGTCCAATGGAAGAACAGGGTGATCATGGCTGTTTCAGAGGCTAGTGAGTAGGAACCCTCTGCTGGTATGCTTCTCTATGGCAGAAAAAGGAAGAGGAATGAATATGGATGAGCTCAGAAGGGATGGTGTGAGTTTGCCTTCTTCCAACCCTCCTTGCTCTGTACTTACAAGTGGGATTTGGCCTGATATGAAAGATGAGGACTTCTCAAACTTTGGAGAGCATGAGAATCACCTGGGGATCTTGGTAAAAATGCAGATGCTGATTCAGTAGCTCTGGGGTGGGGCCTAAGATTTTGCACTTCTAACATATTCTCAAACTGCTAGTAGTCCTCAGATCACACTTTGAGAAAAGAGGTATTAACGTCTCTGCTGGTGAATGTTCTATATACAGAGGCAGAAGACATCAGGTGAGTAGATCAGAGTAAAACAAGAACGTGCTTTGCCTTTTCTACAAATCAGATAAACCCTAAGATGGTTTAGGTCAGTGGTTCCTAACGGAGGGCAATTTTGCCCCATGGAGGACAGTTAGCAAAAAGTCTGGAGACATTTTTGGTTGTCATGCTTGGGCTGTGGGTTGCTATTTGCCAGTAAAGGGTAGAGGCTCAGGATGCTGCTGAATATCCTGTAACACACAGGACAGTTCTGCAACAAAGAATTATCTAGCTCAAAATGTCAATAATGTCAAGGTTGAGAAATTTTGGTTTAGATGAAGGCAACTTTTGTAGTGGAAAGAGCCAAGACTTTGCAGTCTAGGATCTAACACAAGCCCTGACATTTGCCAGTTGTGTGACTTTGGGAGAGTCACTTAACTTTGTTGAATTTTGTTTCCCTAATTTTGAAAAAGTATTGACAGGTTGTGGGGCTTATGACTTAGTAGGTCTCTGTAAACAGCAGTCTCCTATCCTTCATTTGAACCTTAGGGTTCTTGGGTCAGTAAAGAATAAAGACCAATGCAGACATGGTAGCAGAAGGACTAGCAGGTTGAGGTTTTGGGTCAAGGGCAAGATGCTTTGGGCAAAGAACAAAAAGATCTACAAGTCAGTACTAACCACCAAGTTACCAATGACCATGACCATCATGAAGACAATGAGGCACATGGCCTGGCCAGCCACCTCCATGCAGTCCCACATGGTCTCGATCCACTCCCCGCACAACACTCGAAAGACAATGAGGAAGGAATGAAAAAAGTCATGCATGTGCCAGCGAGGGAGTTCACAGTCCTGGTTGATCTTGCAAACACACTCTTTGTAGCTCTTTCCAAAGAGCTGCATCCCCACCACAGCAAAGATGAAGACAATAATGGCCAGCACCAGTGTCAGGTTGCCCAGGGCACCCACTGAATTTCCAATAATCTTGATCAGCATGTTCAGGGTGGGCCAGGATTTGGCCAATTTGAAGACTCGGAGCTAAGGGGGGAAAAAAAGCCAAACAAAAACCAAATGATACTCAATCCAGTTTCTTACCACATGACTAAAAAAAATGTATCAAATTAGTAAAATCAATTTAAATTTACTAAGCACCCTTGGGAAGTTCCCAGGACTTACTAATGATGTCTTAAGACTAAAACAGAAGAAACTGAGGCACAGATAGGGGAAAACTGATGAACTTCACAGTACATGACAGATTCAGGAACTCAGAGCCAAAAATACTCTCTCTAGTCCTTGTATTAGTCTCTGGATTAATTTACTTTTTAAAAACTCATATATGAACAAATCTTTTTCCTACTGATTTTCCCTTGACTTCTCAAGGGACATATCAAGGAAAATGTGATTTTGTAGTGAACCAAAATATAAATATGGTAAGGACAGTGAAAATAAATTATCTGTCCCCTTAACAAAGCAAGTACTTAAAAATTCTAAATACTTTTTCCTTTCCAATAAATAACCAATGGCTGATATGAAACTTTGCGATATGCTTGGAATAACTTGGAGGAAAAGCACAACTCCCAAGTAGGGGCACTTCCACACATACTAAACATCTCATGAAAAGGGACTATATGATATTAATTTGGAGGGCAGAACTTCTGGTATCCGTCAATTGTGAAATTTCTGTATTCTGAAATTAATGATTACAAGATTTTGGCTAACAGTCTGAGAATTATAATGCATGAAACCCATGAATGGAATGATAATAATGATAATAATGAGATCATCATCAGATGTTATAGGTCAGCAACTAATACATGATATAATAGGAATTCTGGTAGGAGGCAATAGTACTGATTTGAACTTTTTTTTCGAATTGAAAACCTGAGTTTTACCTGTGAGTTCAAGATTTATCAGGTCTTGCTCTGTGTGTATATCTGGGTCACTCATATTTTTTCCCTTTTTGACTAGCTTTTACTTTACTAAGAATATCAGCACTAAGCCTTCTACTTCTTAATCTTTCATCTTACCATTTAGATAATAAGAGCTATTCTCAAAAATGTGGGCTGCATCCTAACCAAACACTAGTAAGCATGGTTCCAGAAACTTGGCAGATACTTTCCCTGACGTGGACCTAGTAAGACCTGTGCTTTACAAAGAGTTTCACTCTATTCCAATTCTCTTTCTTAGATGTGCTGAATATCCTGATGAAAAAACAAACCCTTTCAGTTGTAAGCGCTTAGGTATTTTCCCAATAGGGGAAAAAAGCCCTAAGCCAATTCCGCAGCTTTGCTAAGTGGGGCACCTGCAAGGGAATTCAGCTTTTCAAGGAATTTAGTCAGGACACCACTTATGCCTAGACTTACGGGAAGCTGTTTTGAGGATATCAACTATTCTTTCAGAGTCATTTTAGTAATTTAAACATCGGCATCTTCAAATTTACTAATTAAAAAAATCCTTCTTAGTGATGGAAAACAAAGCCAATGTTCAACAACTAATTTCAATATAACTTTAAAGAACATTATTTTATTCTCACGTTCTGGAAGGGGTCACCATGAGGGAAGAGATGAGCAGAGCCATCTTTGAACAAGGAGAAATTCTTGTCATTGCAGGGAGATGTTCAGATGAAGAAATGGGTTCACTAGCAAATACAAATTTGACCTCAAAACAGCTCTTGGAAATCTTTCTTCTTCATCTTTTAGATTAACCATTATTTTCTGAGGAGCTTCCTAAAATTGATTTGTTTGCTGATAGATTTTTTTAAACTAACTTATTAGATATTTAGTAGAATAGTTTTCAAGATTTTAGTAGCTTAACCAATAAATAGCCAACTGGAATTGGGAGTAGGACACAGTTAAGGATTTTTAAAAAATCATCAAATTAACTTATGTAAAACTCTTTTTAGTAGCTGCAAGATAGGAAATGTAAGAAGAAATTGAAGAAATGTGGAATACCAATCGGAAAGATCGCAGCACAGAAAGCCCTTCCACGTCTGCTAGACTCAGTTCCATTAAACTGAGGGAGACAATAAATCCATCAAAAATGTTCCAACCTTCTTGGAAATAATAGTAGGGATCCATGGCTATGAGCTTCAGGAACATTTCTGCTGTGAAAATTCCAGTGAAAACCTAAAGGGGGGAAGGCAGGGAGTAAAAAAAAAAGAATGAAAATGCCTTTATCATTACCTTTGAATATAACATATCCATGAAGCCTCAAGAACCAGACTTCGTTAAATTCTGCATCTGAAGACATCAATGCCTGGATGTCTTGACGACCACTCCACACAGGGCAGGAAAGCCTTCTTTATTTTCCTCGAGTGAAGTACTACACCCCAGTGCTCCTATCTTTGTTGCCAAAACTACCCGATTCACACTGTTGAAGAGTGCAGTTAAAAACTAGAACTAAACAATGGGAATACACACAGGTGACTCCTTCTAAAGGGTCAGCAGTCGTCTGAATATGTATGCTTGGGATGTTTGCCTAAATAAAAAAATTACTCATTGGGTTACAATTATATTAGAAAAATACAGCATTATTCCTGATTTGATATTATGTGTCTTCTCAAACTTAGACATACACTGTATGGTTTCTTACTTTAAATCATAAAAATGATAGACATTGCTAAAGGTATATAAAATACAGGAAAAAACATCCATAGTCTCACCACCTTGCACCTTTTGGTGTTTTTTCAAATGCATATATATTTTGACAGAGTTGTAAAACCATAGAATACATAATGTCTTGGGTCTTATTTTTCAGGTATCATGACTCTAACCATGTTGCTAAACAGCCTTCCTAATTCACACTTATACTGCTTGTATATAATTCTATATCCTCAAAGAATATATCCTCAAAGAATTCTCTTATTGTTGGAGACTTTGGTGCTTTCTGTTGATTTTTTTCAATGATAATCAACGATATAATTGTTGTAGATTTGGAGCTTACAGGGTGCAACAGTGACTTTTTTTCCAGTGTTATCTGACTCCCACTCATCTGCCTGAGAACCTTGTGTTTCACAGTGCTGTCTGTATCACACAGGTCTTAGTGACATTAACATGCAGTGATAAAGCAAAAAAACACATTTCGTCTTTTGACAAGACCAAGACCCTCATTCTAGGCTAACCACATAACACCTGACTCTTACTAATTATGGTTTTGGATGACAGGACTTGATATGCAGAAGGTTTAAAATTCATAATAAATTAGTACTTGTAACCACATGGTCACCAAATTTACATATGAAGTTTAAGGAACTCTGAAGATATGGTCTGGGGCAGAATTAAAAACAGTGAAAAATGCCTAGATTATAGATACCCTTTGGAAGTATACTGAATTAATATATAGCAATAACAAAACACATCAAAATGGGTAATCAGGCTAGAAGTTTTTGGTGTCCATATGCTTTCCCATGGTTCCCCATTTTTCTAAACTGAAGATGCAGTATTCTAAAATTGAAACAAAATATTCCCTGAAGAGATCTGGTGAAGCAAAATCAAAATTCATAATGCAAGCTAAGCATCTATAGAGGGAACGTCACTCTTAGTATGGTCAGGGAAGGTAGGGGCAGCTAATCAATTCCTGACGTACACTTTGTCCTTCCCATAAACCCATCAAAGGCTCCCCTACATAGAAATGTTAGCCTGCTAATGCACACTAAGTAGAGACAAAATTTGCCATCCCATCCGTTCCTGGTGAGCACACAGGAAGTGCTCAATAATAAGCACTGGCGGACTAACTGTGGAATATCTGTACTGTGGGAACTATGTTCCTAAGAGAAAGTCAACAGTGACAGTTATGTGGTGTTGACTTTCAGTGGGACGCATGGCCCCCAGAGGTCTGGTAGGAATTCTGGTGACAGAGATCAGTAAGCACCTTGGTGCAACACGTGGTGAGATGACATCATTTGGAGTCTGGGTGAAAATAAATGGGTAACTGTTGGTTGTATGAAGGCATTACTTTTTAAAACATGGACAAGAGTAGATTTAAGGTTATCCTCATGATGCCACTCTTATTTGCATTGTGATATGCTCCTTGAAAAGGAGAAAAAGAATTACAAGCAGTGTTATCAACAACTGTACATAAATGTTACTCTTATAAATGTCAGCTAATATTCACCTAAGAGCTTATGTTCTAATGTAGCAGGTCTCAAAGTGTAGTTGAGGACCCTGGGTTCCCTAAGACCCTTTCAGGGTACAAGGTCCTCCCTTTTCCAACTGTGTGTCTGTATGAGGCCAGGTTTTCTTCCTGTGCTTCAACCAAAACAATGTATCATGATGGACTGAAGACAGAAGCAGATAAGAGAATCTAGCTATCTTCTATTAAACCAGACATGAGATTTGCAAAAATGTCAAACAATGCCATTGTTTTCTTAGGAAATTTAGTTTTTCCCCATAAAATGTTATTTATGTAATTGTGTAATGGGTATATTATTGTGATTTTTAAATGAATAAATATTTAATATTTTTCTGGTTTTAATTTCAAATGTGGTAAATACCAATAAATATAACTCTCTTAATAAGAAGCTCTTTAGCTCCTTTTAAGCGTATAAATAAGTCCTAAGATCCACAAAGGACTGAGAACTGCTGTTCTAATAGAATGCTCTGAATTCACATGGGGCTTATCTTTCTAGTCTGGACAAGCCTCTGAGCATAGGCCTGGGAACCTGTAATGCCAGGTCACCAAGTAAGGCCTACAATGTCCTAAGATTGGGGTACTGCATTTGGGGGCCACTTTGGGGCTTGGGAACAGTGGGGGAGAAGCAGCACACCTCCTGTTGTAATTACATCTGCAGACAAAGTTTATGCTCATTTGGGAGTGACTAGTGTTTGCATGCTCCTGTCTACTCTCAGGAGGGGGCTAACCAGCTCCTGTTCTATCCTGGGTCCTTCCAAAATTAATAAGAGCCCTAGTGTATCACAATGGAGACATGAAAAAACCACGTGGCCATGAAAAATAATGGCTCCTTAGGAACTCGTCTCCACAAGGGAAAGTGACCAACTCTTCTGGGTTTACCTGAGACTTTCCTGGTTTTAATACTGAAACTCCTGATCCTGGGCTTTTAGTTAGGGCAATCAATTTGTACTGCTTGGCCAAGAATGATCCCACTATTAAACTGTAAAGTTCCACATGCCAGGAATCCCTTCAGAGCTGTGCAAATTGGAATAGCTGTTTATCCACCCACTGAGGAGACAGGCTCAAGAACTAAAATATCATGTAATAAGTGCTTAAAAAGAGGTATGCACAAGGGGCTACAGGGGCACAAATGAAAGAAAAATTAAAATCTGAAAAGAATTCCTTTTAGTTGAAAATCTAGTTGAGCTATAGTTATGAAATGGTAACATCCATGTGTATTTGGTGAAGGAGGAAAAAATATGTTTTTCCTTTTGTTGCCTAATATCTCAGAAATTAAACTTACAGATTAAGCCTTGCCCTTCCTTACACACCCCCTCCCCATGAAAGATTCAGTCCTGAAGCCCTTATCCATGTGGATGGAGGCCTGGTGCCAGGTGCTGGAGGCCAAGCAGGGCATCTATGCAGGGGTGCAGCCCGGTGTGGGGAGTGAGAGCTTCAGTGGGCAGAGGATGTCTGTGCAGGGGGGTATCTGGCATGGGCTGGGAGAGTCTGTATGGGATGAGGTGGCTTTTGTGTAGGAGGGCTACCCAGCACAGTGCTGAGACCCAAGTGGGATAGGAGGGTTAGCCACATTGGAGGGGTGGGGTGCCTGGCAGAGAGAGTTAGAGCTTAAGCAGGTGGAGACAGCATGCCCAGGGGGAGGGCAGCCTGGTGTGGGCTGACACAGCCTGAGTGGGCTGAAAAAGGCATCTGCACAGAAAGGTGGCCAGTGAGGGGTGTTACAGCCGAGCAGGATGAGCAGGATGTGGCCTGGCACCAGGAGTTAGCTATGCAGTCAGGGGAGGAGGACTTCAGAATACACAGATGGTGCAGGGAGTGAGTACCCCAGTGTGGGTCCACGCAGATGGGCAGCTTGGAGTGGAGAGTCAGAGCCCTAACAGGGCAAGGAAAGGTGGCCTGGCATGGTGTGTGAGAGCCCAAGCAGGATGGGTAGAGCCTCTATGCTGAGGGAAGGCCCACTGTGAGGCACGGGAGTCCAAGTGGGGGTAGGGAAACAAGGACATGCGGGGTGGCCTGGCCTGAGGGGTCAGAGTCTGAGAGGTGGGAGGAGGGGGTCCACATAGAGGACAGTGGGGTGGATGCTGGGGGCCCAGTATGGGGAGTCAGAACCTGAACAGGACGAGCACATCCATGTCATAAGAAGAAATAGTGGCTTTTTGATCAAATACGAAAATATAATGAAAATGGTGGCAATCAGGTTTCTTTTTGATGGAGGAGTGACAAATGTAGAGAGGAGAAAGCGGGAATGAATCCTGTAGTTCTGGATTAGAATAATCAGCTGGCCCCATACCGAGGGGGCCTAGCCATGCACATTGCTCCAAGAGATCTTGACTTCTAATAAGGTTTTCCACTGAAACAACCAGGGCTCCTTAAGAAATGACTGATTCCAAGCCCAAGAGAGGAAATACATAAAGTCAGTCTGGAATATTCTGTGATTCCAGAAAATAAGGAGGTAATGAAGACACGCTGAAAGGACACAAAACCAAGCCTGCAAGGCTGTCACGGGCCAAATCAGGAACAGTTCAAACATTTAAGTAAATCATAGTAATGGATTATAACTCATTGGATAAAATTGAAAACGATGCATCCATACTGATAAAAATGAAAAAAATTAATAAAGTGAAAATTTAATGAAAAACAGGAAATTTAGATAGTTTCAAAATGTCTTCCTCACAAATACTTATTAATTACAAATGGAAAAAGAGGGACTTTACAGGGGAGAAGCCTGGCAGACACTTCCTTCTGAATGATAAAGTGAGTATCACCAGCAACGGGACAAATGGAAACCTGGCAGCTGCAATGAGAAGACAGCCTCACTTGTGTGGTGTGCGAAAGATGATCCTGAGTCTAACCATGAGGAAGCGTCTGTCAGACCCAAACTGAAGGAATTCTACAAGACAACTGGCCTGTAGTCGTCTTCCAAACCGTAAAGGTCCTGAAAGACAAAGACTGAGGAACTCTTCCAGGCTGAAGAACTTGAAGGGCGTGATAACAAATGCAGTGGTAACTCCGGAACTGCAACTTTTTTGTTAAAAAGGACATTCCTGGGATTACTGGCAAGACTTGGAGAGTTAGACAGCTGTAATAGTCCCTGGTATTTTCCTGATTTTGATAGTTATATCATGGTTCGAGAATGTACTTGGTCATAAAAAACACACACTGAGGTATTCAGGTGTGATAGGCTGTGTCAGCAAATTACTCTTAAAAAAGTTCTTTATACTGTACTTGAAACTTTTCTGTAAAATTGAGATTGTTTAAAAAACCAACTTATCAATTCACTGTTGTGTTCAAATGGTTGCAAAAAAAGACAAGAAAAGAATCATTATATTTATTTACTAAACAATACAGAAGTTGTTTAAATCTCGTGGGCTTCAATGGACACCATTCAAAGAACAAAAAGGCATCCTACAGTATGGGAGAATATATTTTTAAATGACATATCCGACAAGGGGTTAACATCCAAAATATATAAAGAACTCACACGCCTCGACACCCAAAAAGCAAATAACCCAATTAAAAAATGGGCAGAGGATATGAAGAGACAATTCTCCAAAGAAGAAATTCAGATGGCCAACAGACACATGAAAAGATGCTCCACATCACTAATCATCAGGGAAATGCAAATTAAAACCACAGTGAGATATCACCTCATACCACTAAGGATGGCCAGTATCGAAAAGACTAAGAACAAATGCTGGCAAGGATTTGGAGAAAGGGGAACCCTCCTATACTGCTGGTGGGAATGTAAGCTAGTTCAACCATTGTGGAAAACAATATGGAGGTTCCTCAAAAAACTAAAAATAGAAATACTATTTGACCCGGGAATCCCACTCCTTGGAATTTACCCAAAGAATAGAACTTCTCAGATTCAAAAAGACATATGCACCCCTATGTTTATCGCAGCACTTTTTACAATAGCCAAGAAATGGAAACAATCTAAGTGTCCATCAATAGATGAATGGATAAAGAAGATGTGATACATATATACAATGGACTACTATTCAGCCATAAAAAAAGGAACAAATTCTACCATCTGCAACAACATGGATGGAGCTGGAGGATATTATGCTCAGTGAAATAAGCAAGGCGGAGAAAGACAAGTGCCAAATGATTTCCCTCATTTGTGGAGTATAAGAACGAAGCAAAACTGAAGGAACAAAATAGCAGCAGACTCACAGACTCCAAGAAGGGACGAGTGGTTACCAAAGGGGAGGGGTGTGGGAGGGCAGGTGGGGAGGGAGGGAGAAGGGGATGGAGAGGTATAATGTTTAGTACACATGGTGTGGGGGGTCACAGGGAAAACAGTGTAGCACAGAGAAGGCAAACGGTCAATCTGTGGCATTTTACTACACTGATAGACAGTGACTGCATTGGGGTATGGGTGGGGACTTGATAATATGGGTAATGTAATAACCACATTGTTTTTTCAGTTGAAACTTTCATAGGAGTGTATATCAATAATACCTTAATAAAAAAAAATCTCCTGGGCTTCAATTTCCTTTATAAAACATGGGGGTTGGATTGAATTATCTTTAAGGCTCCTCCTATTACTGACATTTTTTTTCTTACAGGAAGGGTGGAAGAGGAGGGGATCTTCAATTTACAGACAACGGTTCTCATCTCTCAAAAACATCTGCCTGCATATCTATGAACAAACACAACTTAATTCACTGTCCCAGCTGCGGGAAAAGCCTTGCATCCTATTTCAAAAGCACGTCCATCTCACTTTTTTCCATCCTCTTGTTCTCCGGTTCAGTTGAAAGCTCTCTTCAAATCTCCAAGCCTTTGAAAATTCTCCTCCTGAATTCCACTAACACAGTGCCCAAGATTTGTAGAGTACTTTTCACTATTCCAAAAACTTTCTGTATAGGTTCTCATTTTCTCCTCCCAACCACCGTATAGACATGGTATTATCCTCCTTGTATGGATGTGAAACATTTCTAGACAGAATTCAATGGCTTATTTATAGTTAGTATGTTCAAAACAGAACACTTGAGTTTAAACTCCACACCCATTCCTCCTCAGTCATCCCCATGTCCCCTCAGTGACTAAACCCCCAAATCTAGGCACCATTCTGGATTCCTTCCCTTCACCCTCACAGCCAATCCACTGGCCAGTCCAAAGAATCCCGAACTATCACCATTCTCCATTCCCACTGTTGATGTATGTTTGCTTTTCCCATGAAAACTCTCACTGACCGGCTGGACTACTTTCTTATTTTAGAGCTTGGTTCTAAGTGGCTTCTCTCCTTTCCTTACTGGTGATCCTGAGAAAAGTCTTCTGAATGCTCACAACTTAATGTAGGTGTGACTCTAAATCTCTGCTCATTTTTAAGAGAAAAATAACATTATTTTCTGGCCTGGTCTGAGAACAATTCCACTGGCAGTAGGTGAAAAAGCCTCTCAAAATCTCTTGGAAATCAATGACTAATTCTGTAAAAAGCAGAAAAACAAGACACTACCGGGGAAATACCAAAATTGATCAAGTCATATTTCTCATTACTTAACCCTTGGTTAATAAAATAAAGCTTACAACTATATGACATTATTGATTGGCTCAAAATGCTGTTTAATGGCCAAGTCCCTGGGTCAGCCAGTCACACAGCAAGCCTACCCTCAGGCACCTCTCAGAGCTAGGTAGCAGATTTCTGGGACAGCTTATGGGGGTGTCCTGCTTTAGGACTACGGTGCTTCATCAGGCTGCACTTAAGGGTTTACACTGCAGCCGTGGGCCTGAAGTGTGTTACTAACTCAGACCTGGAAACTGGAAAGACCGCAGAATCATCCTGGATGTGCACCTGGGAACACAACAGACTCTAGGGACTAACTGCATAAAGGATCCCTTTTGCCATGTGTGTTTTCAGAATCAGTACTCAAAATGATATTACAACACTTTAATAGTATATTGACTTAAGGTTGAAACTGTGTTATGTGCAAGAGAGAGAGAGAGAAACAAATACTGAGGAGAGGCCACATTCAAATTAAATGGTAACAACTGATTTGACATGCCTATGGTGCAACTCTTAGGGAATAATTAGGCCCAGATGACCTAGTGGGTTGTTTCCAATGAATTCTTCACTATGTATAAAAATTCGATCAACTCTGGATTTTTGTACTAAGGAAGTTAAACAGATAATCCCCAAATCACCACTATTTGACTTCACAAGACACTGTGTAATGTTTTTTAAAAGCTGTATACTTATCTTCTAAATAATATAATAAATAAACATATGCCTCAAACTAACATTGAAATAAATTTGGCATGGATAAACTAATGGTAGAAACTGGATGACAGCCCAGAAGTTGGACTGGAGGGGGAAACACACCTGGAGTTCAGAACTTCCAGATACACCCCAGATCAGTGAGGGCAAATTTATAGTCACATTTAATGCACAAAAAGTGTCTCCTATCTTGTGGTTGTTACTGAAGGTGAAAGGGGAAGTGATTTGCTGGAGTAATTCAGGAATCATTGTGAGAAACAGAATGAGAAAAAAATCCAGAAGTCCTTGGCTCAGGCTGCTGAAGCCAGCCCACTGTGCCAGGCGCCCATTCCGCCACCACAGCTGGTTTTCTGCCAAAAGCTCTGAAATGACGACTTCGGAGTTCTACAGAAAGAGGCAACAGCCCGGGGTTCGCAACACTGAGCAGAAGTGGCTGGGGCTGTGGCGTGTGCAGAAGCATTTGTCTTCCAGTGAACTGTTACTTTCTTTTCAACTAACTCCAGTTTTCAGTATCAGGAAAAGACATCCCCCAGGCAAAACAGGTTCAGATCACAAAATCAAGACACAGAGCTCCATCTTACCAGATTTCCTACAGCCAAGACGTGCTCAAACTGAGGCGTCATAGGGTGGTGCTCCATGGCCATGAACAGTGTGTTGAGGACGATGCAGATGGTGATGGCCAGGTCCACAAATGGGTCCATGACGATCAAGTTCACGATCTCCTTCAGTTTGATCCAGTAGGGGTGACACTCCCAGATGAGGAAAGTATTGGCGAATTTATACCAGCACGGCGGGCACTTCCTCTGAGACTCTTCCAGCTCTGTGGTGAGTAAAGATGAAAGGGGGCCCCTCAACCACAGGGGGAATGCAGAGCCCAGAGCTTTGAGTCCCCCTGGGCTGTCCCCACCCTTCCCGCCATGCGAGTGCTGCCTCTCCTGAGGGCTTCCCTCAGTCTTCCCTGAGAGAGAGCACAGTCACTGCCTGGTCGCTTCCCTGTTAACAATGATCTAGTTACAAGCAGTCCATCTGTTTGGGGAGCACAGCGTAATGGTTAGGAGCTTGGCCTCTGGAGTCTGACTCCCCAGTCCAACCAGCTTCAGCACTCAGAGGCTATGTGATCCCAGGCAAGGTGCTGACTCCTCTATGCCTCTGTTGCTTCATCTGAAATGGCACTTACTTTACAGGTCAGAGGACTGAGTGAGTCCTGCAACCCTCAGCCACTGAGTGAGTGAGTTGACGCATGAAAGCAGACAGCACGCAGCCGGGCACAGGGTTAGTCCTCACTAAGTGGTAGATGGTACACACTGTATCATCAAATCATTATCAGGGAAGTGGTCAAAAGCACAGACTCAAGCCAGATGTTCCTACGTGCAAATATGAGCTCAGACACACTTGTTAACTCAGGGATCTTGAGTGAGAATTAAATGAGCTAAAATGAAGCTTATCGCTTTATAAGAACACCCTCGCCTATAGAGATACGTGCTATTACTATTATTATCTTTACAGCAGAATCAGCATCATCAACCAAGCCACCATGTGGATGCATCTTTCATATTCCCAGAGTTCAAGTCAATGAGTTTACATTTCACTCATTTCAGATAGGAATTCAGATAGGAATGTCAGTCACGTCCCCTCCCTGACCCGCTTCCCTTCTCTCATTGCTCCTTGCATCTCATCTGGCCCATTTGCCCTTTTCCACTCAGCTCCTTTCCTTCTCGCTTTATCGTCTTCCTCTCACCCTCCCTTGGTCCCTTCTTTCTTTCCTTTTTCTTTCTCTCCTTATCTGCTCTCTTTCAGAAGCAGAACCTGTTTTTTCAAACAAGATCTTATGTGACACCCCCCCTTGCCCTGCCATCTGTAAAACAGGAACTGCTCTTGTCAGGGCAGGAAGAGGAGTTTGGAGCCCAGTTCAATGGACCACTGCCTTCCACGGGGGACTTGCCCACAATCCTAGGACTCTGATAAACACAGACAAAATTGCTGGACCAGAAGTTCTCTAAGGTCGTTTACAAAACAAAAAATTAAAAAGGACAAAAGGCAGAAAGCCATTTGGCTGGCACTACAATCTTGGCATGAGGCCCTAGGTAACAAAGCCCTCCTCAAATGAAGTATGAAATATAATGGCTGGGACTACAGAAGTCCCAGGACCTGGACCTAGGAGAATGTTAAGAGGTGTGACTTTGAAAACCTGTCAGCATTAATTCTCAGACATAGGTCTGGGTTCTACAGGGTTGGATATAATTGCATTCACCCCAACCCCATTTCTGCCGACTAAACCAAATCATTCAGGGAACAAAAAAAAGTTTCCCAACATCTCACCAAGAACAAGATGGCTGCCTTAATAGCGTCTACTTTCCCTCTTCCCAACCAGCTGGATGGTGCCCATGGTGATGGCTTTATTTTAGATGGGGTGCTTTGGCTGGGTTTCTGATTGGCTCCCTCGTTGCTAAGAAAATGGTTGCCTTGGTTTTCCAGCTTTAAGGGCCACAGTAAGCGCCACGTGGGAGTTTGCGTGGGAAAGGAAGTCTGTGAAGAAAATTTGCTTTGGCTTCTTCCTCATAGAACTCCCTCCCTTTCCAAGGTAAATTTAGTTTTCTTCCCAAAAAAAGAAAATGAAAAGGTTCTCTATTTCCATAAATTCTTATAGTACATATTTGGAAATTTAGTTCCGTTCCTTTTTTCAATCTCCTCTCCTCTCCAAATGTCTGCTGTTCACTGGCACGTGGAGGCTAAAGCAGCGACTGTTCACATTTCTGACAGTTGACACAATTGTAATATTACAGTGAATGAGGCTGAAAGTCTTTACCAGACAGTGAAGAGGGGTGTCCTACCCTATGGGGCACAAGAAGCTTTCTACAGGAATACTAGATATGTCTTATTCACATTTACTGAGAAGGTAAGATCTTCAGGATAAATCTATTCCATTCCACCAAAAGTAAGAAATGTGGAGCATTAAGTGCTAGAAAAGATCACTTAGGTGAATAAGGAGGTTTATCAAGTGACTCACAACTTTGCAAATTATTACTGGCCCCACAGCCTGGAACGGCTAAGGATTTGGTCTGGGGGAATGGGTTAGCACGTAGGGGTGAGATGTCCAAAGGTTTGTGGGGTTTCCCATTTTGCTCCTAGTCGTTTTCAGAGAGGTTACTGCAGTGGCAATTTCAGAGGGTACTAGGAACTATTTTCAGAGAGGGCCTCATAATTCCATCATGATGGTGGCATCAGTAGACCATGAGTTTTCTGAAGTCAGGTACTTCTCTCAATTCAATTCAACAACGTTTAAGCCCCTACAATGTGCACTGGGAACATGCTGAGGAACAAGAGTCCCCAACTTCACACAGCTTACAGCTGCAGCGGGAAAGGTGGACAGCAAATTATTGTACTGACACTTGATACTTGTCAGTTGAATAAAAGAATGAATAAATAAACTGTGGCAGCAATAGTTATGGCCAGTTGCTGCTCTAGAGGAGTTTCTGAAACCGTCCTACCTGAGGATCAATAATGCTAAGTACCATCACTGCTTCCTTCTTATTTTACCAGCTCCCTCCCCTTTTTCCATAGCTTTTCTGCTCGGAGAAATGAGACTACACTGCTCTGCCTACACCCCACCACTCGTCCTCTGAAATAGCCCCAAAGCTCATGGCTCTGCTGACTGTGAATTCTGCTGAGTTGACTGGATCTTAGTGAGCATGTCTGCAACAGGACAGGGGTAGTGCAGAGCAGGCCGGATTTTCTCATTTACAGGATTCTGGAATTCTCCAGTATCTGGGTTCTAAGCCATCAGGTACATAGAAGCCTGCTTCTTTGGTGTTAAATAATAATCTTTGAATTAAAATACTGTCAGACTTTCCTAACTGAAGGTCTGGGAAGCAGGAAAAATTATTCATTCAATGCTGGCTTTTACTGTTGTAGCAATCATTAAACCCAGAGGGACTGATGGTTAAATAGGACTGAATCTTTCTTAATGTCCTTTAATTCCCTCTCACATTATTCAGCTTCAGCCATTCATCATTCTTTGCTTTCAACAGTTCTGTCCTATCAGCTTTCATAAAGGAAGTCAAATATAAGGAGGTGGGGGGAGGAGGAATGCCTGGGCAGGAAAAGGCAGGAAAGGTACAGGCTATGTGAACATTAGGGCTTAGAAAGGGGGAAAAAGAACTGGAACGGCTTGCTACTTAGGAACACAGCTACAGCTCTCTCTCTCCCCCGAGTGCCCCTTACAACTATTTTTTATAAATGTGCTGGTGGGTGGAAAGTGGAGAATAAGTATAGCAAGACAGAAAGAGAAAGAAGACACAGAGAAGGTGAAGAAAAGGGATAGAAAAAGACAAAACTAATATTCCAGTGGATTCTATCCAAGTCAGCAGAGGACAAAGGAACTGAAGGCCTCAGAGGCATCCAAGGCACCAAGACCCGCCTCCTCAAGCACAGCAAAGTTCAGTTCAACAAACACCTGCTGAGCATCTCCTTTTGCTAGATCCTGTACCAGGCCACTTTAGTAATCAATAAATAATTGTTGCACTGCATTGATCATTCTCCTGTAATGACATCTTTGCCAGGAATAAAATACACCTGTGGAGGTCACTAGTTTGTCTTTCTCAACCACCACAGATACCCAGAGAAATCTCGGGTCTCCAAGTGAAGAATAAAATTCACCAAGGTTCTTAAGCTAGTGCCTCTGAGCTTGGATATCTCATGATCTGCAGTTACTTGCCTGTAATCTCAAAGTATCAGCTACAAAGTGTAAAGATAATCTATCAATGACTTCAATGGGAATTAAAGAAAACAGGAATAAATGAAGTGTTCAGGCAGCTAGAAACAGTTCAATATTCTTTTTACTTGATTCATTATCAAGAACAGTCTAGGTCTAGTCTAACTCCTTGACCATATGTGGTAATGTAAACAATCTATGGGAGTTCCTTTCTAGGGATTCTCCCTTCACCACAGGGGTGTCTGCACACACACATGCACACACACAGAGCAGACGTGGTGCTGGGCTTCAGTGACTCAAAAAATAACTTGTTCAAAGGACACCAGGATAATTTTGAGTCTCTCTATTTTAGGGACTCTGGTTATTGTTGGGTTAGCCTGGGTGTTACTCCGAAGAACAGCAATTATGAGGCCTCAAGAATATTCTAGAGCTACAACAGGACAATCATTTAAAATCAACATGTATCAAATGAAGAAGGTTGATTCATGCAGAATCAATCAGAATCTTGTGAGAGAAAACCAGTCACTGAATCTACCTCCAAAGAAAGCAAGAAGAGCCTGGAATACTGCTCACTATCGGACAGAAGCTGATGCTTGCTGGGAGACTGTTTGGACGGAAAACCCTTGGATATTCTTCAGCACACCAGGCCATTTTGTGGAGGAACCACACAACACCAGATTCAGGTACTGACAGCAACATTGCTGTAGACATGCTAAGATTCAACAGTGGCTGCTCTTTCCTTGTGGCACAGAGTACTCAAGAAAGAGGGGTTTCAGCTTACTTATTAACACATCAAATATATTTATGGATATGTGGGGGTGTTTGAAGAGAGGCAGAATTAGGTGCGATCAAAATCCACAGTATACTTGGTCCTTAAGGGAAAGCCAAAAGATTTGTAAGTAGCTAAAAAGGGAAAGAGGACGGTGTTTCGGAGGAGATGGCGTGAGGGTGATTCCATCATTTTACTTCTTCACTGTTCTCATATCACCCCACTGGTTCCTTCTGATGCCAATGACAAAGACTTCTTGAGATTCTCTAGCTCATGCCGACATCACTCCTTCATATTTCTTACCTTACCTAACATTATGGACAATGTTGGCAGCAGCTTTGAAGTCCTTATTTGATCCTCTGCATGTAGATTTAGGATGCTGGTTTTTCTAACCAGCAGACTCGATTCCTAAAGCTCAGGGTTTTGCAAAGCTCAGATGAAGGGACATGGATTTTATTTATCATACACACTATACATTTGTATCTCAATAGCTTGGACTCAGCACATACCTTCTACTAGTGTATTTGTAACCACACTCAATATACTGTTGATTCTGTCCTTCCGTCCATAGGAGGCCAGTTGGTCCATGGAGACTAAGAGAGATCCAGGGCCTTTCTTCTTAATCTCTACCTCAGTTGTAGCCTGAAAAAAAAAAAACAGCAAATTAGGTGAGCAAAGTCTTAAAAATGCTAAGGCTGGGCCTTACTGGATAGATAGTCCAGGGGGTGAGCAAGAACATATGCTCTTCATGATATCTTTTTACTTTGATCCTGCAATTCTATTCACCTCAAGAAGTAACAAGTTATCCATGGATCATCCTTAGTCCTACAGATGATAAGATCAAGTCATTTAAGTTTGTACTAATTTAGAATGAATCCAAGAGTCTGGCCCGGGACACAAATACTTCAACTGGTCAATCCAAGCACATAGTAGAAAGACCAGGTCCTCTGGGGCAATGCAATCAGAAGTAGACCCTGAGTTTTCTTAGTCTCGCAGACACAACATTTGGCTAGAATTGGACCACATGATAAAATTAGTAAAATTCACTGTATTTGAAATTTCATGAAGGGCCAAGTCCCTGATCAGACTGAACGTTTTAGATCTTGTTTCCTCCATGCATGGGAGCATCATCACTCTACCAAACCGTCACTTCCCAAGGCCAAACCTGGGCCTAACTGAATGCCAGCAAGTTGAAGTTCTACTCCAAATCTCGTCCACATCACTGTAAAAATGTATGGTAAGCTTTTACTATCTTAATTAAATATTTAGCATTATATATGTTTACCTTGCCCTTTTAAACTTTCATATTATGAGTTAACTGGTAATGTTCAAATTCCCAACCAAACAAAAGGGCAGAAAACACCATCAGATTGTTATACAAAATATTTTTTACATGTTCTACCATAGGCAATACCAGAATGGCAGGTTTCAGCACAGGGTTTCTTAATGTCCCCAACTTGTGCTCTTTGTGCCAACCTGAATATTCTACATCAGAACAGGCTTAAAGGAGGGCTTAGAAACTAGCTTGTCATCCACTATATCATATCATCCACATAAAGTTGGCTGTCCCTTTCATGGTGAAGAGTACAGAGACAGTCACCATCTTTCAGAGGACAAGGAAGACATTTTATATGAAACTGGAGAAGTATGTCTGGTTAGCACTAGAATGATACTAGCTGTTTTGAACAGAAAATAATGATCTCTGGAGAGCTACATCAGAAAGACTTTCTGTCCTCATACATGTTTAGATTCTAGGAACCGTACAGAAGAAAGTTCCTGGCAGATTATCATTTATCTTCTCACAGTGTATTATCAAACTGTTCCACTGATTCAGACATTTGGTTCACTTTAGAGTTCTGTTGTTCAGCAGAGCTAAGAAATGGAAAGGAAAAAGGATTGATTTCCTTGGGAATTCCTGGCACCAACTGACTTTTGACCAAGGTGCTGAGTCAGTTCAGTGGAGGGTCTTTTTAATAAATGATGCTGAAAAACAGGATATCCATCCAGGTCGACTCCTATCTAATTTTATACACAAAATTAATTTGAGCTGAATCAGAGACCTGAATGCAAAACCCAGAACCATAAAGCTTATAGGAGAAAAATACCTTTACTATCTACAGGACTGGCAAAAGTTCTTGGACAGGATGCAGAAAACATCATAAAAGAAAAAAAACTGACATACTGGACTTCATCAAAATAAAAAATTCACATATTTGATAAAGGACTTGTATCCATAACATATAGACAACTGACAATAATAAAAAGAACAACTCAGATAAAGATGGACAAATAAAGAAATGGCTTTAGAAAGGCAGACCCAAGATCACAAGTGTAAATAAGGTAAAGCACGTGGGCTGTGGAGTTAGCATGGCATAATGCTTAATGGTTAATGGTTAATGCTCTTGTGTTAGACTGCCTGGATTCAAATCCTAACTCTGTGCAATCTTAGACAACTTACTTTATTTCTCTAAGTCCTGTTTTCCTCCTGTGTAAAATGCAGACAAGAGCAGTATCTCATGAGGAGGGGGCTGTGAGCACTAAATGAGATAATGCTTGTACGTCTGCAAGCAACAGGACTCTGAGTTACGTGGGATTTTGGATTGTTAGTGGCACCTGCTTTCTTTAAGAGTGAACAGATTCTCATCTGCTTTTCCAACTCTGAGATGAATACATGAGAACAGTCCCCTTATCCTCTGCTTCCAAAGAAGCAATAGTGAAAAATCCCCAAACTATCACCACTAGATGACAACTGAATACTTAGTGAAGATGTGAAATAGTTTTTGACGAGACTCTAATGAGGTAATACCTGGATGTCTTTTTTTCCACAGGGAATACTGTATTTCTTAATTTGAGCCTGAAGGAGAAATACAGATGTGGCATAGCCTCAGCATTAATGCTGTATGAGATGAGCTCGTGGACCATCAGTAGCCCCTACGTACTCCACGAAGCATGAGTTTACAACGGGAAGCACGTCAGTGGTTCAGTCAGACAAGTTAATCCTTGGCTATAACAGAAACGTCCAAAATGTCTCAACAGAAACAATCACTCTATTCTAGTCCAAAGAGGTATTTTAATTGCTCATCTAGCTGCATATAACATCATTAACATATTATGTCCTTTTAAGATAAATGACTGTTTTTCCCACTCAGGAAGTCAGGAAGCAGTTAGGAAGGTCCCATTGGCATCAGAAAGAACTTGGTTCAAGTTTCATTTCCACAAGTCACTAAATCTGAGTCTCATCTGTTAGTAGGATAAAAACACCTATCAAACAGGTTGGTTGTAAGAATTAAATGACATCATGCATATGAAGTGCTTAGCATATTGTAGTAAGAACTCAGTATATGGTAGGTACAATTATTAGCCTATTGTGGAAAACTGGAAAGAACAGAAAAGTGTAAGAAACAAAAAAAAAGTCACCAATAATTTCTCCTCCCAAAGGCAACTAATGTTAATTTTTAGTCAGCTTTTTTCTATATGCAGCTTATCTTTCTACAGATCTGATGTCATATCATACAAACTATATACATTCCATTTTTATCTTTTTGGCATATTAATATAACTTAGATATATTGCCATACCACTAACAACTATGAAGTGCCAACAAAATAGTTTCTCCCAGTTATGAAGGTCTTGGGAACGATACAGTCCTTCCTACCTCATCTTCCTGCCACTCTGGGATCTGGCCTCTCAGCCCTGAGAATTCTGAAATCTATCACCACCACCAATTGGGACCATACAAAAAAATCTCCTAAGTGCTTCCAGGGTGTCGAGAGTACAGGCTTCCCCCAAACCCAAAGGCAGCACTCTGTAGGCCACAAGGTAAGGCAGTGCAGAAAGCCTTACATTCCACAGCCATCTGCTCAACTGTCTCAAATTTTTCTCCCACACAGTGTAACAGGAGTTGCTAGAAACCCAAAACAAAACCCCAAACCTGCTAATCTGCCTTATGCTGAAGTTCAAGTTCCTTCTTCCTGGACACCTTTACTGATACATTCTCTTCAAAGAAAAAGTAAGATGCCTTATTTGGCTTAAATGTTTTTAAAAACTGCCAGTATACCACAGTTTAATTTTGTTCTCAACATTTGAGTTGCCTCAATTGTCCTGTCCCCGTGGACTCACTTCTTATTCTCCTGTTGGTATCACCTCTTGTTTTTTTTGGAGAACATAATTATCTATCTAACTGTGGAGCCCCAAAGTTTACCTCCAGACACAGAGTTAGTGAAAACCAAGTTTTAGTTACAGATATCTACTAACATTTATTTTGGTCAACCATCTGGTTTTGGAGGACTCTGAGCCACTGTCTACTATTATTATTATTCCTTTTACTGTTGATCTAACAGCTCTCCAGAAGAGCAATAGCCATGTGACTATGCAAAGAAGACATTAAAATTAACTGAGAAACAGAAGATTGGGGTTTCTGAAGGATCTCAGATTCTGGCTCTACCCCTGATGAACTGTGTGACCTCAAGGAGCACAAATTCTCTGAGGCTACTTCCACCTCAAAACTAGGAATAACCACCTTCACTTGGTCAGCCTTATGGAGTTTTTATTCAGGACAAATTAAATAATGCATGTAGACATAATAAGTAGGTTGTAAAGAGGGAAAGTAATTGTGCTTTTAAATAAAAAAGCAGGGAGAGAAAAGACAATGCCAAACACATCCTCACTGCCTTTTGAATTTTTATCTGTACAGTCAACAACTGTCCTAAAATGCTAAAAACAAATTATTCTGAGTAATTCCATCCTTGATTGTCCAGGTTTCCTCCACACATGCATCATCATGCTAGTTAAAGGACCAGTTATCTTCATGCTGTGTTAGAGGAAACTGAAGTGTTAGAACAAAACAGACTAACATGCTATCTTAAGTTTATACCAGCTGAGGAGGGACTGAGGCAAGTTAAAGAATTAGAGGTAGGAAGGATAGCGTCACTGAGGTTATAAGAATTTAAAACTAGAAAAAAAAGGAATTAACAGCTTGAAATTTAAAGAAATGTTAAGAGATGGCTTTTTCCAAAGAGGGGAGACATAATCCAAACCCCTAGACAAGTGATTTTATGAAGCTATTATATGCAACTCCTCCAGAGCCTGACATTTGATTACATTTAAAATTCATCGCTTGCTTCCCTTTTCCTTCCTCCCCCATACACCATGTGTTCCTGCCTCAACCTCCTACTTTTCCCTCCTTTAATGTATTTCCATTTCAATCCCTTATGGACGTCTAGGGCCAGTTTTGCACTGACTTCCTTAATCTGTCCTTGCCTGGCTCTCTCTGGTGCACACCTCACACCCTCAGTCTGGTGCATGCAGTCCTCTTTGGAAAAATCACATCTCATTTTTGTAGGGGCAACTTAGAAAATTACTCAAAACTATATTATTTTGTTCTTAAACTAGAAAGATAAGAACTTTAATTTCCAAGCTGTTTCCCTACAGGGAGAGAGGACGTGGGGAGAGAGAAGCAATGGCAGTTCCAAACCCACTCAGACTTGGTCACTGGTAGTGGCCTGGTGCCATTCTCATTCCATCCGGGCAGGACCCGCTTGCTGGCCAGAGGCATTCGGTCAAGCGGGCGGGGGCGGACGCGGGGGGCGGACGCAGAGGGGCAGACATACTTGCAAAGATGGAGAGAAAGAAAAAGAGGTACAATAAAGGAAAGATATGCTGGCGGAAGGGCAACAGTCAGAAACAAGGAAGGATAATTGGGATACAATGGAGCAAGGAATAAAGTAGAAGGGGAAACAGCGAGAGTAAAAGAGGGAGGACTGAAGAAACAAACAAACCAGGAGGAGGACAGAGAAGTGGCGGGGGGCGCAGACAGGGGTGGGGGAGAGGCCAGGTGGAAGGCGCGGGGGACGGGAGCGGGCGACTGCCATGCCCAGCCTCGGTCCACCTGTTTACTTCCTTACGCTGTCATCGGTAGCTGCCTTATCTATTTTCACCTCTGGCAGGAGACGCCCGCCGATGTGGGAGCCGGGGCCGCCGACGAGGGACACCACGCCGTTGCAGTCCACCGCGCTGCTGCGCTTGACGCTGCGCCGCAGGCTGGGGAAGATGCGCGAGGAGCGGCTGCCCTGGCTGTAGCCGCTGTAGCCGCTGTAGCTGCTGCGGCGCTCGCGCGCCCGGACCGGAATGAAGAGCGAGTCGCGGCGGCCCTCGCTCTCCTCCACCGTGCTGTGCTCGTCGTCCGCGAACTCGTTCTCCGAGCCCGGGTCCCGGAAGCGCCCGGGCCCCCTGAAGCTGAAGATGCTGCTCTTGCTGTTGTGGCGGGAGAGGAACGGGGAGCCCGGGATGCTGAGCAGTGACTGCAAGGCAGGGAGAGAGAGGCAGGCATGAGCCGGGTTCTGACCCCTTCGTGGCCTAGCAGAGGCTGTTGGCCTCCCAGCCCGGCCCCATCCTTGCATCCCTGCTACCCATGTGAAATTTCAGCACTGTTCAACACCCATTATTACTCATTTCTCCTTGCCCCATACCCCTGGGAGCCATCTGTCTTTGACCAATTAACCATTAGAAATTTCTACTCACTGTTCACAGATGCATTGAAATGATGCTTTTATCTCATGCTCCATGGAGCTAACCCACTGGGAAACACATCAGTGTGCCTATGTCTCATTTACTATGAGCTCACATGGAGCATGCCTTTAATTTACTCAGGTTACTCTGTGCCACACTTGGCAAAAAGGACTTGCTATCCTCTCAATGAGTACACGTCCTGGAGGTTAGGTGCTATGCCAACAGTGGTCTTCGAGGTTTTTTTGTTCAGCTGAAAATTATGTATGTCCTCTCCTCCACTTTAAAGTCAACATTTTTTTTTCCATCAAAAGTTTAAATGTTTGTAAATTATGTAATTCCCAGCACTGACATTTTAAAATAAAACTCTATTTACCACTTAGAAATTTTTCCTCATTTCTTCTTCTTCAACTCATACTTCCATTCCACATTTGCTAGAGTTATACTAATGTGTATTTTTATGCTTTAATGTTACTTTATTGATCACCTTCGAATAATTTTCTGCAATAAAAAATTATAAGTAAACTGTACTTAAAAATTTTTTAATTTTCCTGTGATAATGAATCTTAGCAAATTAAAAAATTCTCCTGGATTAAGTTATTATTACAATTCTTATTAATAAAACTGATCAATATACAAATACATATTTCACAAGTAATTACTGAACTTAAAAAAAAGATTAAAATGTATCTCTTAATGAGATGAATGAGGTTTTTTTAAACTGGTGTTTCTGGTGTTAAATATTTGTAGACAGTATTATTTATCAGAATCAGATATGGCTCAACATCAACTCTCCCCTCCCTTCTAATATGAGATTTTAAGTACTGAGAAACTTTATTCACATTAGTGTCTTGGAAAGAAGAATTTTGTTATAGTAATGTCACTCAATTCTTTTAACTTTGTCCAAATTATATGCCAAAATCACATAGTAAGCTATCAGCAAAACTGATCTTAACAATCTATGAGCTGACAATTAAATCAGGTCTTCTTTCAATTTTGTTGAAAGCAAAGAACTGAAAATCACCTGACTTGCCAAAGGATTTATTACCTAGTTGTTTCAAGTATTCCATTTCTTGATTTCTGAGGGTCCCAAAAAGGCTTATTATTTACTAATAATTATATGGGTTGCTCTTACAGGTTTTTTTTTTTTTTTTTTGCTTAAAGGAATCCTATTTAACCCAATAGAAAATTTGGAAGAATCAACATATTGTTCATTTCTATATATCACGCCATTAATTTTTTTAACACAGTGACTTATCTTATCACATGCTTTAAAGATATTTTCATCAAAACCTTACAGCCACAGGTTTAGCTCATATAGTTTACAAAAATGTCTATCATATGATCTAATTAGCAAAGCCAGTTCTACTCTCAAAGCAATTGGCCAAAACAGACTTATTTTCATTGGAGAAAGTATGACCTGATTTTTCATTTTTAATGAATGTATTAGTATGTATCTCAGTCCCACTCACCCCTTTCCTGAACTTAAAACATCCAAATGCCCTTGATTTTAACACTACATTTCACTCTTTAACGGAAGTATGTAAGAAATAGGTAAATTCAGAAAGACTTACACTGGGTTTAAGTTTCCTGAATTAAAAAAAACTTTTTAGACACTCTCATTTTCAACTATCCCTTGGTTTGGCACCCCAAAGATTTTTTATTATTTTTTTAGTTTAAGTATCACTGATATATGTTCTTCAGTTGGTTTCAAATATACAACACAGTTGTTCAACTGTCACCCTTATTATTAAATCCTCACCCTGTCTGGTGCAGTTACTATCTATCAATGCACAAAGATGTTTTAGGCACCCCAAATATTTTTATAAATCAGGGCAATGCATACCATAAAGTCTGGGATGACCAAGAGTATACCTTCCTTTTGTAAAGGGAAGAAGGTTGACTGTGAAAAGCAAAGTGGAGAAGGGGAATTGGTGTGACCGTGGAGCACAGGGCTAACCTTAGGTGAAAAGATCTAGAAATCAGCTTCCTTAAAACTGTGCTTGGAAAGTCAAGTGCCCCAAGGGGGTGCAACCCCAGTTTGAGGACCACTGCTCTAAGGGAAAGAAACTCGACAAGCAACTGACTTTAGACAATCCTCCCTGTGACCCTGAGATACTTAAGTTTGCCTAATTATGCCCTTGAAGGAACTTTCAAAATAATTTTTAGCTATATGAGATTTTTGCCTTAGAGTTTAGGCCTTACCCCTATTGATTCCACTGTGAAAGTTCCTTGGGGGCTGGGGCTTTGCCAGTAGAGTACATGTAAGTACTGACCAGCCCTTTTAAAATGATACTTTTGATAACCCTGGAAGGGCTGTAGGGCTGTTACTATTTCCACCCATACCTTTTTGTTATCTAGAACTCCATTTCTAGTTCTAGACTCAAAATTATTCTAATTCTGGCCTCCTCCTATAATATACAAAGGCCCTGTGCCCAGATCAGTACATTTCTTTGGATATTTCTAGTTCCGTCATACCTCCGTTCTTTCACCTCATTCCTTTTCACCTCCATTTGCCTTGATATGTAGTCTTTTCCTGCCTTGGCTTGAAGCAACTTACAAATTTCTGAGGCAAGAAATGAATTTGATAACTGGAGCCACATCAATAAAACCACTAATCACAGATCATTTTATATAATGTAATTGTCAAATACATACCATATGATGTACACAGGCCTCTAGAAAAGAGGGTACAGGTATGCAACATCTCTGACCCTTTTCCTGATCATTCTGACTTGTTTTGCTCTTCTGCCCCATCCCTGCACCACAGAGCAGATACTGCATTGATTAGATACCAGAATATTCATGGGTCTCATTCACGTGTGGATGGCGTCCTGTGTGTTAAAAGGGCACACACAGGGCCAGCTCTTCTTGCACATCCTTTTCCAAGTTACTGGACTGGTAAGGAGATCAGGGCCTTCTCCAGCTCACTGCTTGTTAGTACTTCTCACATATATGTTGGGTACTCTCACTGATTCATTCCCCTGAACCAGTTTTCAAAGTGTGATTCATAGACCAGTGCTAATATGTGATCTGTTACTGGTTTGCAACGAGACAAGTAGAAAAACTGAGAGGAGCATTTAGAAATTTGAATACCAATTAGACAGTGTCATAACACTCAAGAATGTGATTAATTTTTATAAAAATTCATTGTTTTATTTTGTAATAGTATCAGTTCATGAAGAACTGGGAAAAAGAGAAACTGGTCCTTAACCGCAGATGGTTTGAGAAGCGCTTCTCTAAACAACGTGGCTGGCCAGAGGACATGAAGTGTCTTAAAATGTACCTCTGATTTTGTTATCATCAGGTATGGTAGGGTGTGAGACACCAACAACTGCCTTTGAAAGAAGTTTATTACTTATACTTCCCGAGAGAAGAGGGAATGCCAGTCAAGCCACACAAGGCCTTGGGGTGGGGGCGTGGGGGGTGGGTAACCAGGTTCAGTCAGGAGGCAGATGGGAGCAAGGGGAGAGCAGGACCAGAGCTTTTACTCTGGTTTCCTCTGGAAGGAAGGGGGGAGGCAGAGTACGCACCATGTGGGCAAGTTTAGGACTGGATAGTTTGAATAATTTCAGGCAGTCTCTGGGTTATAAGAACAGCCCTAGTTGTTCAGTATCTGGCCCTTGGGGTGATTTAGGGCAGGGGAAAATAGTGGATTGGTGTGTGAGAGTTACAGAAAAGGAGAAGGTTGTGGATAAGGGCTTTGGATTGGTTGACTTGCATATGAAAGGCATATATCCAGGCAAGTTGCACACTATCTCTAGGAATTAGGCTAGCATTAGGAGGGGCAGTGTCTCCCCAGACAGCAAGGCTCCTAAAATGTCAAAGCATAAAATATAGAAAATAAAAGAAACACGAGTAAGTAAGTACAGGATGATCACAATATTAGGTTACGGGGATAGGCAGTATCCTTAGGCTTCTACTCACGTGTTTAGTTCAGTTTCACATAGAGCACTGAGGCTCAGGGCGTAAGCCCAGATGGCAAACTGCCTTGGGCATGTATCTCCCTCGAGGGTCTCACTAGAGAGAAATATGGCCAGGACAAGACAAGACTCAAGCACTCCTGGGCTCCTTTCCCAAATCCCACGGTCACCCTTAACATCACCACTCTGTGTCCTCGGGATGGCATTCAAGATCCTCCCAGCTCTGACCCTAATTTACTTCTTCCATTGTATCCTTCACTCTTTCAACACATACATCTTGCCACCGAGCCTTCAGGTCTTTATTTTCTCCATTTCCTAACTGTGGAAATCCTCTGTTTTTGATGGCCAGCCGTTCAGCTTCTTCCTCTGCCAACTTCCTTAGCCCTTCCACAGCAGGTGAGTCCCTTTTTCAGGGTGCTTACATTCCACTTTTTACTCAGTTTTTTATATACATGCTTTCTCTCCCCTCTGTAACTAACTACAAGCTCCTTAAGGGCACACTGCCTGATTCATCTGTCTGTCTCCTGTAGTGCTTTGTGCATCATAGACAAAAAAATGGACTCAACCTAATATTAATAAACTGTCTTAAGTCCTAAAAACACAGCACATAATTTTACAGAAAAATGGGTAGGAAATAGGCTGGGCAGATATCGCAAGGGGACCTGGCAATAAAGGAAACTGACATACATACACTTGAACTGTGCTGTGGGAAAACCGAAGCCACATTCATTGTTAAAGCCAACAGCAGAGATGACTGTGCACGTGTGGAGGTGAGCAGGGAGGGGTAACTACAGACCACAGTGTTTAGGAGTGCAAGCTCTGCAGGAGAAGGACCTGATTCATCTTGACTTAACACCTACCAGCTATACCACTTAGATACGTCACTTCATATCTCTAGGCCTCAGTTTCCTCAGTCATTCTTCCAGACAAAATCAGAGAAACTGCAGGAGAGTCTGAGGACAAAGAATATCATAACCACGTGGGGCTTCTAAGCAAGCCCTGGCAGTCAGCCATAGCCTCTAGGAACTGACAACTTCTTTCCGATGGAGAAATTAGAGGAAGTGAACATTTTCATGCAAAGCAAGATATCTCAGAAGCCCAGTTTTATTTTTTTTGAGCTAGGGAGCAATCAGTGCAACTCTGTGCTAAGGCATATAGATTAATCAAAGACCATTCAGTAGCCAAGTGTTAACAGCGCTAAGATATTCATTAACTAGCTCAGTGATGGCTCACAAGACAAAGGCTGGATCACACCAAAGCTGCAATCACACCTCTCCCTCAAAGAGGCTGAACTAAGAGAAAGGTGAGGTGAAGGTGAGATAGAGATGGCTCCAGGCCATAAAGAAACCCCATAAAGAAGCTCCACAAAATCAGTTACGTTAGATCTGTTAAGGTCCTTCATTCATTCGTCCAATAAATATCTGAATGTTAGCCATGTGCCAAGAAGCAGGCCTTGACTTTAGGACTTCATCTAGAAGAGGAGAGGATATGAACTTAAGTAAATATAATACCACGTAAAGTAAAAAGCGACACAAAAAGATGTACATATAGAACAAAATGGAAAGATGAAATGATAATTTCCAGTTGGGTGTGGGAGGTCAGAGAAGGGTTTTTGAGAGGATGTGAAGAATATGATGTGAACATTCAGAGATGGAAAATTAGGGCATTCTAGGGAAGGTGTTTATGGACCAAAACAGAGGGTAGAAAGCAAACATCCTACACAAGAAGCATCTAGTCATGCACTGTTGTTTAAGTATAGGGCGACTGATGGGACCCAGTGACTGGAGCCTGAAAGGCAGGCTATCTTCACGGGCAGGGGGAGTGCTATGAATTCCATGCTAAAGGGCTGGGACTTCATTAGGAAATAGAGTCAATCTGATGAGAGGAACTCCCTCTCCCATTCTTAACACCTATTCTAAACTATCAATATTTTCTTTAATCCCCTTACTCAACCTCTCATTCCCTTCCATAAGATTTTTTTAATTCCTGTATTATTTAATACTAGAGACTGTCAGACATCACTTCCCTCAACTTCCTGCTCCCTATCTACAAACTCACCCACACTCACCCTCCCCTATTTTTCTGACATTTTGGGGTTAAGATGCCCCTTTTCTATTAGAGAGTACATCTATTTTCACATCGTCCAATGCTTTGCTCTATTTTCTTTTCTATTCTACTTGATTTCTACCTCCACCTCCCCTTCCTCTAGGTTTCATGCCCCGTGGATTACAAAAATGCTTATTTTCATTTATATTCTTTAAAGAATCTTGAATGAGAAGTCTATGCTCTTTGTCTCCAATTCCCACTCAACATGGCATTCATCCTTGCCCTGGACTGAAACGTGTCTTTAAAGTTCTCAGTGACTTTTATTTCCAAGTCCAAAGGACATTTCCAATTCTGATCTCATGAAACATCTGTTAAATTTCAATCCATTGATCACTCCTCTGCCTTCTCCAGCCCTGCAGCCTCTCTTGGCTTCAATGAACTCTTGGTTCTCTTAGCATTTCCAGTGGCCAGCCATTGTTTTCCTTCAAGAGCTTTCCAGCATTTCTTTAAAATGGGGAATTAAATGGCCTAAGAAATGGATATTGGTGGTGTTTCTTGAAATCCAAAAATATCTGTTATGTGATGATATATTTATAACGGAATGCTGAATAATAATGTCCTCTCCCCCAACTTTAGTTTCTCCATTTATCAAAGTTGAGTAAAACTGAAGGTTTTTAACCTACCATAGGATAATTTATCAACATACTATATATCTAGAATAATTAATTCCTAGAACTTGTCACACTCAAATAAGGTGACCTAGAGTTTCATGACTCTTTTTCTAAAAAAAATGTAATTATATGTAATTGTCAAACAGAAGTGTTTGACCTTGATTCTGATGTTCAAGTGCTAAAAGGAGAAAAGTTCTTCCTAACATTTCAGAATATAAGGCCTGCTGGTGTGATATAGGCTTTACTGCTAAAGTAAAATGCCAAAGGTTATCACAACATCCTAGTGCTGGCTTGAGAGCAAAGGGAGGGCAGGATTAGAGCAGGGGAAGGTTCTAATATGCAAGTTAAACTTCCAGCTAGAGGAAAACAAGATGGAGCATGGGGAGGTAGGCCTCAGGATACAGAAATGGGTCTGGAAAATGTAAAGCCAACAATGGAGATGTGTTGTGTTTCAAGTGAGATTAGCAAAACCAGAATTTTTTAGGCTTACTTGACCCCGTGCAAAGAGTTTACCTGATTCATGATGGAAAACTTCCTCCCTATTCTGTTGTCTGGCAGCCGAAAGCCCTTCCTCCTCATACCGTCTTCTGACTCTGACTTAAACACCTTCTCAGGATCTCCCTTCTCCTCTCCTTCAGAGAGTTCCTTTTGCTTCCTCTTCTTTCTCCTGTTCCGTCTTTCTTTGGCACTCTTGGAACTGAGTTTAGAAACTTCAGATGAGCTCCGAGGAGAGCCTCCTCCTTCTTCACCTTCTTCCTCTATGGCATCTTCTGAGACAGTTCCTGCTGAAGTGGCCATCGCAGCAGCCTGGGGAAGGAGCCACAGCAACAGGCCAGATCAGAAGCAATTAGCTGGGGCCACCCAAAGGCAAGCAACTAGTGCAGATCATTTCCTTTCCCATAGTTAGGGAAGCAGGGAAAAAAGGAGGAAGGAGAACCAGTCTATCAGAGGAGACTGTGGCCAGAGCCTGGCCATCTCTATTTTCTAGTTGGATTTGTATCATGGCACACAGCCCTAAGCAATCAGAACAGAATCCAGTGGTAGTGCAGATCATTTCCTTTCCCATAGTTAGGGAAGCAGGGAAAAAAGGAGGAAGGAGAACCAGTCTATCAGAGGAGACTGTGGCCAGAGCCTGGCCATCTCTATTTTCTAGTTGGATTTGTATCATGGCACACAGCCCTAAGCAATCAGAACAGAATCCAGTGGTGAGAACTTTGGGATTTATTCTCCTGAGTATCTCAGACAAGAACTTGGCTGCCTTCTTGATACTAAGTGATTCCTTCTGGGCAGCTCTAAAAATGCTTGCTAAGAAACTGTATTATATATTATGGGCTCAACAAAGTAAAGCTAAATGTATATTTGGATAAAAATTAAAAAGCGAAGTGTTAGAGTGGTGGGATCACAAGTTTGTTTTTCAAATTTACTTAGATATTTGACCTGTATCTTCTTTTTAATTACAATCAATACTTTTTATGACCACAGAGAATTCTCTGAAGGAGACCCTAATATTTCTCTCAACAAAAAAGGCTATCCTTATATGGAGTACTATATAAACTGCTCTCCACTGTTTTTCTCCCCAGCCATCATAGTTGAACACTGAACAGTTGAGAAATTCAACAAGATGTCATATTAACAAACAATTTAGCCATTAAGACAAATGGAATAATTGAATCATTCATCAGCATTTGTTACTGAAGTTATTTAAATCAGAACAATAACTTCTATTTGACAATATGCCTAGACAAGATCAATTGGAATGGCAATCAGATGGGGCCTTAGTCACAGCATCTGGCAAGAAGGATGGTTGCAAAGAACTGATCACCAACCTGTGCCTCTTCCTGTTGCTTCTTAAGTTGCTCCAACATTGCCTTGAATTCAGCCTCTTTTTGCTCTGCCTCCTCCAGTGTTGCCTGATTCTGCTCTTCATAAGCCATGGCCACCACAGCCAAGATCAGGTTCACCAGATAGAAAGAACCCACAAAGATGACCAAGACAAAGAAGATCATGTATGTTTTCCCAGCTGCTCGTAAGGTCTGTAAAGACAAAGGCCATCTTCTGAGTCACTTGCATCAAATGAACAGGCTGAAAACAACACACAGGCTGATGATCCCCTAGGGGCACTACCGCGTGTTGAAAAGGACAGTCCTCCAATGCGAGGCACCCCTTTGTACAACAGAGCTCTTAGCTCCCCAGTGGCTGAGTGGCCAACCCTCATTCATAGTCAATGTCGGTAGTACTTCTCATTCATTGTGACAAAAAAAAGTCCTCTTCCATTTCCAAATACTCCCTAATATACTCCTTTCATAGAAAAATGCTTGATTTTTTTTTTAAGAGAAAAGAATGCTCTGGGTGAAGAATTTTATTTGACTTTATCAGTTGGTTCTAAAATAACTATAAAGAAAGATACAAGACTCCAGCTCATTTGTCTATGGGTCCTCAGAGAGCAGTGGCAGACAAATGCCACCTTCGGGATCATGTGCAAGTCACAGTGACATTTTTCCTTATCCCTTTGCAACAGAATGGGTTGTTACATGGGCGCTGACATACCGGACAGTGGGGAGAACAGAAACATAGAGGAGGACCCCAGGACTAGTCCTTTCAGTAGCACTGAGCAAACATACATCAAAGAGCAAAAGGGTCTGAGGTTATTTCTTGGCTTATCTTTATTCTTTTCAACCACAAATATTTCATGAGAAAAATTCAAACTCAAGGCTGTCCGACAGAAAGTAAGAATTCCTTATGGGATCTGAACCTTAAAACGGTTCCTTCATGCCTGAGGGGAACATATTTCTTATACTCAAACTAACTGGCATCATAAAGTGCCAGAGTCAAATAGAAAATCAAGATTATCACAGAATTTCTAAACTAGAAGAGCTTCAGCAATCACCTACGCTAACCTCTCCATCACAACCAACACAGTTAATTGACTTGCCCAGGGTTACTGATGCAGCCCAAGAGGATGGTGCTGACTTTTAAAAAAATCTGTTACAACCTGCTTGAACAAGTCCAAATATGTTAAAAATCTCAAAAATGTTGATATATTTAGACTCTAAGGTCCTTATGGATAGAAATCTCATCTTTTATAATGTCTAGCATAGTGCCTTGCACAGTTTATTTAATTAACAGTCTTAAAAAGATGCCCTAAGCCCAAAAAATCCAAAAGGAGAATACTGCAGATGGTCTGGTAAAACAACTGGAAGTAGGTAGAGCTACCAGACTCCCAGGCCAGGCAAGAGGCTATCAAGGCTGTGAGTCTCCACCACTGCACATGACTGAGCATTGAAGAAACAGGGACAAGAGCTGCGAGAATTCACTTCATTTGTAAAGCAGCAGACTGAGAAATACTATCCGAAGATCCTGTATAATGTCTGCACTAAAAGTCTCTTTCACAGAATGTCCCCAGCCCCACTTGTCCTCATGCAAATTCTGTTACCAAAGAAAAAGAGGAAACACTCAAAGAAGAGGTATTACTTACCAACTGATACAAGTTTTCCCAGTAGTCCTGGGTCATAAGGCGAAATAATGCCAAGAAAGCCCAGCTGAACGTGTCAAAGCTTGTGTAACCATAGTTGGGGTTCCTTCCTGCTTTCATACACTGGTATCCCTCTGGACATTGCCTGAGGAAAGAAAGGGAAGTTCAGGGCTTTTCAAAATAATCTTATACAGTTATAAGTCACTTCCATGACCACAGAGATAATAGAAACCATCTATAGAGCCAGGTCAACAAATAGGAATTTAAAAAAAATAAGAAAAGAGGAAAGAAACAAAGCAGCCAGGTCAATTTTTAAAAAAAACGATGTTCTGGGGACAGCCTAGGATCAGAATCACCTGGCACAGCTCTTAAAAAATGTTGATTCCTATGTCTTACCCAAGACCCAGGAATAAAAGGCCTGGATAAGGGATCTATGGATCTGCATTTTTAAGAGGCATGCCAGGTGATTCTTACACATGCCTCAATTTGAGAATAACTGTCCTAGATTCATATCAATGTGCAATTCAACTGAATTCAATTTAGCTGCTATCCTAAATAACAAACGGCTAACTAGAAGTTCCTCTTAATCATCTCTATTCTTTTAACCTCACTGTGACAACCTGGGTCATATTGAGGATTTTAGTGATAACAGTTCTTCTGCTTGTAGACTCACCTACTATTTATTTCAATGTAATTTCCAGTACCTACTTCAATACAGAAATTATATGGACTTCTAGTTGTCATGGTCGTCTTAAAACACCAATTCTTGGAGGACCAGTGGATACTATACCCTACATTTATATAGCCTTCTGTTTACAAAGCACTTGCATGTATGTTATCTAATTGGACGTTTACAATAACCCTTTGAGGAAGTGAGAACAAGACTTATTACATCCATTTAATAGATGACGAAGTTGAGGCTCACATAAATTAAATGGTTTGCCAAAAGTCTTAGAGCTACAAGTAGCAGAATCAGACTCAAAATACATTGCCCAAGTCACAGTGTTGATAGCAGCATTTTTCACAATAGCTAAAACGTGGAAGCAACCCAAGTGTCCATCAGCAGATGATTGGATAAACAAAATGTTGTATATATACACAGTGGATTATTATTCAGCCTTAAAAAGGAAAGAAATTCTGACACATGCTACAACATAGATGAACTTGAGGGCATTATGTGAATGAAATAAGCCAGTCACGAAAAGCCAGTTACTGTAGGATTGCACTTACATAAGGTGCTTAGAATGGTCAAAATCACAGAAAGAATGTTGGTTGCCAGGGACTCAGGGAAAGGGGGAACTGGGAAATTATGATTTAATGGATATAGAATTTTAGTTTGGGAAGATGAAGAGCTCTGGATATGGATGGTGGTGATACAGACACTTAAAAAGAGTTAAGAGAATACAATTTGTTATGTGTATTTTACCACACTAATGAAACAGTGGGGGGCCAAAAATTATGTCACTACTCTTCCCCCCCGCCCCCCGCATGTGGTCAGGCCTGGCAGGTTTGGGGTCATCTTGGGATGCTGACTATCACCAAGACAGTATCCTTACTCTGTATTTTATTAACTGTGTTATGATAGGATGAGGGGAGGCTACAGGCAAGACAGCGGACTAGTAGGCACACTTTGGGTGGACAAATATGAAACAGAAAAGAAAATCTGGTTCCACCAATATGTCAGACCCACTTAGGGTCTACTACATGAGCACGAAGAAAGTGAAAATACAATATTGCCCATTTTCATCTGATACACTATTTTAAGGGAGGAGAATAAAGTTAGGTGTGCTACTTACCCAGCATCAGAACTGTTTCCACAGAGTAAAGGTTCCAGCATGCCAGGAACCGTGTAAAAATTTGCTAGAAAAGTTTGAAGAGGCAGGAGATGAGTAAGGCAGATTTCAGTGAATGAGAGAATAAGGTTATACTGTTTTTAACTAATCCCAGCAGACAGTTATTGATTTTAGCTCACTTAAATACTTTTTGATAGCAGTGAAATCTGTTAAGAATTCTTTCCCATTAATTAGTTTTCTATATATATAAAAAAATTAAAAGTCCTACCATATAGCCCTTAATGCAATGTTCTTTTCACAGACAGACTCGACTTTCACTCGTATTTCAAATCTATATACCAGGTACTGGTACTTGAATCAAAGGGGTCTAAAAGTGAGTTTTCTAAGTTCTTTACCCCTTTATACAACTTTATCTTTACAGTCTTCCTTAATCAAAGATAAACTAGAAATCCTCACTGATCACTAGTGAACTCGCCCTATTTTAAATTAGAAGGCATGTTCCCCTTTCCTGTATGTGTCTCTGAAATCTCTTTTGCAACATTTTGTTATGACTACTTAATGGCTTTTGTTCCTTAAGAGTGACTACTAGTGACATTGCTAACTTTTCGCCATTATTGTCTAGAAGTACTACCACACCAAATGTTCCTTGATGTAAGATCAGAGTGCTTTGGTTCCTGAAATGAAATTATTAAAACTCTTTAATTGTAAAAAGATCAAATGGTTACTTAGAGATTACCTGACTCCCTAAGACTAGATCGACTGCTAAGGTCTTGGGTATATTCTAAATAAATGTTTAAATATATGAAGCAACCCACCTAAACAAAAAAGGATTTTTACTAAGCTTCTAAGCCTGGTTTTCAAAGCAAAAGTTTAAGGGTGCATGTGAAAAAGCTACAGCCTTTGAGTTTTGGTTTTAAAGGGACAGAAAAGAGAGACAGGGAAAGGGCTGATGTCTGAGAGCTTCTGAACACAGTCCTACCCCGGGGAAAGCAAACAACTTCATAAGACTTCCTCCAGTAGTACTGTCGTTCCTTTCTGGCCCCAACTACTTTTTAAAGCGCAGTAGTGGCTTCTGACCAGGTAAACTAGAGATAGATTTTTCTTTCTTGTCTTGCAGAGAAGGGCCACCTACTTTTATTGTTGATATACTCTTCCCAATCAAAGCCTTTGGTGCCATTTTCAAGATAGCTCTCATTGAAGTTTATGGGCCACACAACACACTTGTTCCGCAGGTTGCCCATGAACAGCTGCAGGCCGATCAAGGCAAAAACACTCAGACAGAACACTGTCAGGATCATCACATCCGACAGCTTCTTCACGGACTGAATTAGAGCGCCCACAATGGTCTTCAGGCCTGAGGAGACAGAACCCCCAGAATGAGAGTCACCCCGCAGCCCTCCCCACCTCCCCCAGCCTCCCTCATGGCTACTGGCATCTACTCCTCCCCACAGCACCACCCCTGAAACATGGCCACTTTCTCTTTATACCATGCGGATAACAATGTGTCACAGTGTTATCAATTCTTCTAGAAGCATCAACTTTTAAGTCATTAAGTTTCAAAAAGAAAAAGAAAGTTCCTTCTCCAACATCTTTTCTTCCTTCTCTCTCCTAGTTATCAGCACCTCAAATGAGTCAAGTTCTTACTTGCTTACAGCCTTCAAACATACTGTCCGCTCTACCTGAATGCCTCCTTTCATTCCCTTGTGCCACCTGCCTAACTTCCTATTCATCCTTCTGATCTCAGCTTAAACAGCAATTCCCTCAGAAAGCCTCCCCTAATTTAACTCTGCTACCTACCCCATTACTACTACTATTTTAATTGCACCTTATACTTTCCTCAGTAACATTGATCACGACTATAATTATGTCTATTTATAATTATTTATATCTTACAGATACAGCTGTATCTGTACTGCCTGGTCCACAGAGGTACTCAGTAAATATTAGCTGAATAAACAAAAGAAAAAAATCAGTTTGAAGAGGCTTCCATTGGAAAGAACACCACCGGGAAGTTCAATAGCCAGTAAGTGAGAAGGTACAATATTTTCCCAAGAGTCCTGGAAATGCCAACATACGAAAAGGTTATTTATTATTGATCCAGTATTTATGCCTTGTCTTTCCATTTAAAAATACACCTTCTCTGTTTCACATATATGCCCTATTCTCTACAACTGACTTTTCTTCTGTCCTGGATTAAGAACAAAATTCAAAATGTATTTGAGGCTAAATGCAAGTCAATGGTTCAAACTTGAACCTGCAGGTGGATTTCTTAACTGTACAGGGAGAGATCAGTTACAGAAGACACAGAAAGATATGGTTGTGGGTTCATGATGTTTGGGTCAAAATGGAATCTCTGTGTGACTCTCCTGGGCATGTCCAGACATTAGGCCATCCACAGGACATGTCAAAAAGCACAGAGCACTCCTAGGGTGCCAATGCACCAGGATGGACAGGAAGTAGACACAGCCTTGACACACAGGCCTGAAGAGGGATCTCATCTCTGATCCACTTCTGAAGGCAAGAATATCAGATAGAAATTACAGGGAAATCCTAATTCTAACTAAGTGTGGCCGGGTAGATAATTACTAACTGTGTGACCTGAGCAATAGAGTCAATAGGAGTTGAGTCTCTTTTTCTCAGAATCTCAGTTTTTCCTTCCCCTTTAAAATGGGGATAATTATAATTGCACACCATAGGGCTATCGTGAAGGTGAAGCATGATTCACACAAACACTTAAGTTGCTCAGGAATACAACAATCTTCCAGTATATTTGGCTGGTTTGAGATGAGTCTACATTGGGTTAATAATCCAATTCTAGGATCCTAAAACTACACAGTTCTGTTTTTAAAGTCAAAGGGTGATTTAAAAAAAAAAACAGTTGAATACATCACTGGAGAATGATTGTCAAGTTTCTTTTTCTTGACTTCTTTACAAAGAGCTTATATAGCTACTGCTCTTGAATAATTCAATCACCTATCTGAATGCTGGATGACCATTCAAGGCTCCTTCTATTTTTTATTTTTAAATGAATTGAGAAACAAGCTGAAGCTGTCATGTGTATTAGTAACAAGAGTATAATACTACAAAATAGCCATATCAACGCATTTGTGCTATATAAACAAATATATTTTGTAAAAAACATAAAATTTTTGCAGGCGTCTAATCTGATATTCCCAGTAATACTCTAGGCAGTTCCAAGCCCATTTAACAGGAAATTCCAGGCCATGTGTTCAAACTATCCCCTTCCCCATAAGGGTGGGCTCCCCCCTTGTTTGGAGAAAGTGACCTACCCTTGTTCCTTATAGACTTCAGGGTAGATATCTGACCTAAATCCACTTCCTTTCCTCCGGGAATATGGAATGGAGTAAGAGACAGTCCAATAGTCTTTTGAGTCTGGCGCCTTAGACCACTCAGCCATCGTGACACCCCCAATAGTCTTTTCATGTGGTGGGTACTAATACATAAATTTGGGAGCTAAGTGATAGCTTATTATATCAGGATATACCTGAGAATTAATGGCAGTTAGTATGCTAAGAGATAGGAAAAGGAAATAGACACATGGAGAGAAGAAAGGTGAAACAAAGTACTGGTATCTGGGACTTCTGGCTCTGTATTCTGGTTTCACTGGCTTCCAGAAGCCCTAAAGCATTTTGCCCCTTAGATTCCCTGAAGTACTCCTGTATCCTTTCACTTGCAACCAAAGATGCTCAACTAATCCACCGACCAACATGCAACTCATCAATTTCCTGGGGATGGCCCTAAATGCTCACTGTCGGCTGCTTAAACATCTCTTCTCCATAAGCTAGATGTCACTGCTGAAGAAATCTGTTAAAATGGGTCCAGAAAGCTAAAAAAATTCTTTGAGTGTTTTGCTTTGAAGTCTGAGGCTTAGATCAACAACTTGGTGAGAGTTCTTACAGTTTTCAAGAAATTTAAGGTAGAAGCTTAAGTTGGAAATGGTATTCAGATGCTAATACTTCACAGGGGCTCAGAGAAACAAATCTTAATTAAGCAAGAAAAACCATTAAATAACACTGCAATATTTACTCTCCAAGATTCTCATCCAGGTCACTAGGAGCAAATTAGAGGAAGGCGCAGGAAGAAGAAAGGTGATGTGGCTTTATGTTTGCAAGTGAAGGTAGCACACAATCACACAGCAATGTTAAGTGCCAACAGTCACTGGATTACGCATTGGCTTCAGCCAAGACTCTCCTTCCTTCTATTGAGTTGTTAATTTCGAATGACCCAGATTTGCAGACATAAATACCAGTTTGTGGAGATGACACCATCCATGTGTTTCTTTCTTTTTATCCCCCTAGTTTTATTGAGAAATAATTGACATACGTCACTGTATAAATTTAAGGCACACAGCCTGATGGCTTGATTTACATATACTGTGAAATGATCACCACAGTAGGTTCAGCTCACATCTATTGTCTCATAGAGATATAATAAAAAGAAAAGAAAAACAAAAGGGAAAAAAAGTTTTCTTTGTGATGACAACTCTCTGGATTTTTCTCTTAACAACTTGCCTATGTACCATACAGCAGTGTCAGCTGTAGTCATCATGTTGTACATTCCTAGGACTCATTTATCTTATAACTAGAAATTCATTTTTTGATCACCTTCCTCCAATTCCTCTTCCCTCACCACGTGACTCTGGTAACTACAAGTCTGATTGTGGTATATGTATGTACACACACACACACCACAACTTCTTTATCCATTCATCCATTGATGGACATATTGGCTGTTTTCATGTTTCAGCTATTGTGAATAATGCTGCTATGAATACGTGGGTGCAGGTAGTTTTTCGAGTTAGTGTTTTTTGTTTTCTTTGGATAAATACTCAAAAGTGGACTTGCTGGATCAGAAGGGAGTTCTGTTTTAAATTTTTTGAGGATCCTGCATATTGTTTTCCATAGTAGCTGTACCAATTTACAATCCCACCATCAGTGCACAAGAGTTCCCTTTTCTCTACATTCTCACCAGTGTTTGTTACCATCTTTTTGATGATGGCCATTTTAATAGGCATGAGATAATATTTCATTGGTTTTAATTTGCATTTCCCTGAAGAGTAGTGATGTTGCATCTTTTCATGTACCTGCTGGCTTTTTGTATAATGGAATCCTTAAGCTCAAGCTCTACAGTTTTGCCAGCAGTGGCTGCCAGGTACTAGTAAACGCAGCCAGTGAAAGTGCTTCCTGCCACCACCAACACAGGGCCGCAAAGGTTATGAAGTTGCTGGTAGAATTCCTGACCTGATGTGTACGACAAGGATGGAGAACGCCACTGTTCCGGCTGTGAGGAGAAGCTGTCCTTCTTCTATTGACTCACAACACTATATACTAGAACAAGCAAGGTACTGACTAAAAACTGATTATCCAAAACAGAGCAGAATGCTCCTTCAAACCACTCCTACACAACAGAGTGTGCAACAGAAGCCCTGTGGGGGCAAATTGGACAACGAGAACTCTTGGAAAAGGCTAACATTAACTAGCATTGGGATGTATCTGAGCAGAAGCAGTTAATACATTTACTACAGATCAAGAAAAGACAGCTGGAGTCAGTGTACAGAAAGGTGAGCTACCAGAAAGGAAGTCGGACATTTAAGGAATGCTGAGAAGCAGGTGAGGCCACTGTCACAGAATTCTACTCCACTCTATGTTCAAAGGCACCTCTGAACCTTCTGTCCCCCTTTATGATGGCCAGAAATCCCTTAAACAAATGAACAAAGCCTGCTTATGTGTTAAGTCCAGAGAAATCAGCCATGAATACTGGGATCAAAATCTACCACCATGGTGACGCTAGATTATAAATAAGAAGTCAATTTATATTTCCTAGTTTGTGGCTCAGGTTGAGAAATCTCACTGGTTTGAAGCGATGTGAGCTAATTCTCTTACAAAATTAACACTGGAACAGGCTTCAGGAGCAGTAACAAACAGTTCTCACCCCACGGGAAAGAACAGGTCCCCAGTTCTCCAAGTCTGGCTTGGTCCAGACAAGTCCTGGGGTAAAGTCATGCCAGGTCAGCTTTTCCTTCTGCAGACTCCATCCACACAATGATAGTTCTTGAAGATTCTTCAGATCAAGAGTAATTTGGGAGAGATTTGTGGGCCATAGATTTATTTACTCAAGACAGATTCATACCACAAAGTCTGACCAAAAGTAACTAGCTCTCAAAGGTCGATCAGTGGGATCCTGGGAGCCTCCAGTGTTTTCCCACTTGGGACTACTGTTTTAAACTCAGCTGTCTTTTCTGAGAAGCAATGTGGAAAAAGAAGAAATAAAAGCAACTGGATTAACAACTACAATATTTTAAAAGAAACGAGTCTGAATATAGTCTAAAAACACTTCCTATACCCCTTCACTATGCAGCAAAAAGTGCCATATTCATAATGCATACATTTAAAAACAATGCTTTCTTTGTGAATGCTGGAGTGGGAAGGAGATGGGCTTGGGACTTTCCCTGCTTCTTATCTGACTCCACAGGTAAAGAGAGAAAGTAAGAGAAATGAAAGCAGAGAAATAAAAAAATCCAAAAGCAAAATAACTGAGGAATCACAACTCTAAAGAGAGTAAAATGATATCTAATCAGTGTTGACGAATAAATGAAAAGTATTGTTTTGGGGGCGAATATCTAACAGATGATGATGGAGATGTAAAGCAACTGGCAAGTGAGCACCTCTCAACTCATTTTATTTACGCTATTAGGTGCCAGTCTTAAGGAAAACTGAGACTCCTGCTTTGAGACTCCCACATTACCTTCAGGCGTGCTAGTCCTATGGCACAGGGGCAAAGTGTGCAGAAGATGACACTTCTGACAAAGTCACTTGGAAATTCATTTTTGTACCCAGACTCCAGATAAGTACAAACTGAAAACAAAGTTTTAAGGCATATGAATTTCTACACAGAATGCTTCAGTGTCAAGTTGAATCTGGTAAATTCCAGACTAAAGAAAATGTAGAAAGGGTCTCTTTCTATTACTGACCCTTTTAGCACAGAGTCTGTATGCATTGTTAAGTCAAGACATCTGAAGCAAAAGGGAAATGGAATGATATGCATCTAGGTATTGAGTTGGCAAATAAAAAGGGTCAGAATGTGGCTCTGGTCTTTTCTAAGCTCCAAGAAGGCTCTAAATCAAAGCATTCCTCATACAGAAGCCTGAAGCCTGATGCACGTAGGATCCAATTTTCTGAGAGTCCTGGCAGCCCTGATACATTCAGAGTATCTCCCAAAGATGCCAAAAGGGAGGGCAGCACGAGCCCGGGAGGGCCGGGTGAGTGCTCGAGGCCAAGGGGAGCTCTTTTGAAGGAGCCGAGAGCTTGGTGAGATCTTGCAGGCTCCACGTCAATTTTTTGGTTGCTCTCATTTCTGATCTACGCAGCTCTGGCAAAAGTCCAGAATCAAAGTAAGAAAAGGAGAAGGCAAGGAGAGCAATAGTCCCACTCCAGTGACCCTTCGGAAAACTTGATATGCAAAGTATGTATATGTTAGTTACTAACAGAGAACGATGGCCCACTCTACAACAGTGGAGTCCAAATGACTCAGATTTCCAATCAAGAGATGGCCCAGGTCTCCTGACTCATACACTGGTGCTCCCACCTTAGAAGGTGACCTGGATAACAGGCAGGTAGGAACAGGACAACAGCCCTCTGTAAGCAGAATGGAGAGCAAAAGGACTTGGGATTGAAAATCATGCTTTAATTCAAGTACCAATTATGTCACTTACTGATAGTGACCTATTATTTGCTTATCTCTTAAAGTTTTCTATCCCAGTTTACCTCTCAAAGCCAGCTCATTTGGGGATGCTTCTAGAAATAGGAATCCAGGAATCTATTTCAAACTGTGAAGCTGATGTCTAAATCTTGATACAAACCCTTTCTTTGGCTTTAGGTTTCTTCTTTATAATAATACTTGCAATTACTAAAATCATTTTTGGAGCACTACTATAGGCCTGATACTGTATTTATAAATACATAGTTTAACAGTTTATATAAGTATAAGCCATATATAGTACTGGAGTATTAAGGATAAATATTAGTGACATCAGTCAAGAGTTATCTTGCAGAAATGCTGTGGTCAGAAGGTAACCATAGAGCAGAGACAGAAGCTAAGAGCTAGACCAGAGAGAGCATCTGTTGCCCTAGTTAGTGAACAGAACGCAGCTTTCCAATTTAATTATGGAAGAGAAGTTCTGAGATCACAAGAACATAAAGAGACAGATGCCTTGTGGAGTACGCTGGGGGAAGTGAGCAGAAAACATGGGATCGTGTTTAAAAGAGGCCAGAAGAGGAAAGACACCAAAGGAAAAATGAAAGTAAAGATTTGGTGCTCCAGATGCCTTAACAAATAAGACAAGGCCTGCCTGTGGGTTAGGCCCCCGTCCAAGCTGCATGAGCTGCCTGGAGAATGAGCTGGGTTTTCTGTCAAACAGATTTTAAAATGGCTTTGGAACTAAATCTTGATAAGTCAGGGTGGTTATAGTTTTTGCCAGGAAGAATATTCTCCAATTGACACCCAGCCTCTCATTAATGAAGAGAAAGCTACCATTGCTAAAAATAGAGGACTTCATTTTAGTAGGGCCCTAATTTACTGGTCCACTTATGGCCAAATCTGTAGATGAGAAACTGAAGTTTACCTTCCTTAAGATACTCAGTAAGCCACATTCCAAGTCTGCCCTCTCCAGGATTCTACCTCTGTGCTCTGTATCTGATGTTTATATAATGTTGAAAAAGAGAAATGAGGAATATTTCTGAGTCAGCCACAAGGAGAACAGCCACATGATGTCAGGAATAGGATGCTCCTGTTCTTCATGTCCCTATTTCTACAAAACTGCACTGAAAAGCCTGGTCTCTCTGGAGTCTTCCCTGAAAAGGCCTGAATAAAAACGAGTCCAATAAGCAACAATATAGTCTTGACTTCTGCCATGTTTCTGCTAACACTGTATCATAGACGTGCAAGACTAACTAAAATATCTTTCCTTCCAGATTTTAAGACTGGTCTTTAGAAAAATAGGTATTGCCCAGCAGCAAGGACTCAAGTTAAATTAAGGGAGCTTAACCTAGGGTCCATAGAAGGGCTTCAGGGGTATCTGTGAACTTTCATCTGATTCTCAAAGGGATCCAAAACCTTCAAAAGGTTAAGAACCACTGGACTAGTTCAACCAGAACAAAAAAGAAAACGCAAAAATAAAGAGACTGTCAATCAACTACCTCCAACCACCCACTGATTCCTCTTTTTTCCTCACGTTCTGTATTTTGTTTGCCCATACATTTCGATGTATCTTACCTTACCTTTGATTTTTTTTTAACAGCACCTGCATAAGCTTTCGCTGGAATTTATGTTTGAGAATGGTCTCTGAATATATGTGTATTAGATGTCTACTGGTTGTTATTCCAGTGAAGCAGACAGCAATAGTATGTGATAGACAATGATTTTAAAGTTCAGTTCACTAACTCCAAGGCTCTTAAATTTGTCTATAATGCTGGATTAGTTAACTGGGTAGTTCTCTTCTGTGATTAAATAATGCCATTAATACAGTAACAATAGAAGTACAACTCTTGGAATATCACCCCATCAGCAAACCATGCGATAGGAGGCCTACAAATCACAAGCAATGGAATGATGGTGAATGTTAAAATTACTGTAATTCCATGGGGCCAGGAAGCAAATGATTGACATCCAGAGACAGCTAGCTCTGTGACGATTTTTTCAGGATCCAAGTGATTCTTAAGCACGTGCTTTTTCAAAGCATGGATGGAATGGGGGCTGCATGCCTGGCAAGCATTGTGAGAGAAACTGTGTAAGGACCAAAAGGCCACTCCAGAGAATGCCTCCCAGGAAAAACATGCGGAAATGCAAGGCCATATCAACGATGCCAGTGCCACTTTAGAATGTGGTGGACAAATGAATGGAGGAGAAAGAGGAGATGAGGCAAAGTCAGTCTCATGTTTAAATTTTCTCACCTGGAATTACAGAGATAGTTTTCAAAGCTCGGAGAACCCTGAATGTTCTCAGCGCTGAGACATTGCCCAGGTCCACAAACTCTGTCACATATCTGTAGTAAGGGAGGCCACACACAGACACAAATGACAAACACAGACACAAGCACAAACACCAAAGGAAAAAAACAAAACCACAACAAAACAAAAAGTACAATACGTCACGTCAGGGCCCTAACCCAACACCTAACACCAACCCCGGGCCATCTTACCTGGGATTACCGAAATAGTTTTCAAAGCCCTCAGTACCCTGAAAGTGCGTAGAGCTGAAACATTGCCTAGGTTTACAAACTCTGTTATATACCTGCAGAATCAAACCAAAGTTAACTTGTAATGGTACCACTGGGCGAGGGGTTGAGACTGGGGGGAAGAAAGGGTCTTACACACAATCTATGATTTCATTTTTTCCTTGAAAAAGAAAGTCTTCAAAATATAAACATTTAAGGAAACACATTTTTTTTTTCATTTGGGCAAGGAAAATTCAAAGGTATATTTGAAGGAACTGATACACCAGGAGGTTCCTGGGGCTTATTCTTAATTAGCATCATTATGTGCAGATCCCAGTCAGAATGACTACAACCAGTCCACTCACTTTTTTAGTAAATAGGAAGGCCAGGAGGTATCAAAGGCGTATGTCCCCAAGTTTTGTGAATAATTTCTTAGGAAAAGGAGGCAAATTTCTCCAGCAGGAGCCCCATGAGGACAAATCTACATTAAAATAGTCCCCTAGTTGATAATGGCAAGAAATGCCGAATCCTGTATCATTCAAAGAGCTGTATGCACATCTTTGCAGTCATGCCTATAGACTGGAGCTTTAGACCGTGACACAAAAAAGCAGGGCTCAGAAAAATCCAGATCATGGAATCAGAGCAAATACTGTGTCAAGTCCCATCTAATCACCAGCTCTGTGCCTAGCAAGGACGCAAATTTTAAATGAACACCAGTGTGTATTCATAATGCTGGAAAGCTAGAAATTGCCCCAATATAACAAAAAGTGGAAGTTCCAGTTTCAAATATCCAATGCGTATCATTCTTTCACATTTTACAGTTAAATACATCTCTCTCTGATGCTCAGACCCATACATTTACAAATGCTCTCAGTCTCTTATACATCTGCGTGCACAACACCATCTCTACAACACCCTTACCCCTTACCAACCTGAGCGTGTTCCCAATCTGAGAAGAAAAATAATGAAGTCTGCTGTAACTCTTCTACCATTGGCTAAGCTTCCCAATGAGATATAGTTTCACTGTTTAAACACAAATTACCAAGAGAAGCTAGCATATCAGTGTGGAGTTACACCATTCTCTAGCAATAGTATGAAGTTCTGGCCAGTAATTCTTTAGGAAATGACCAGTTTGGATACCCTGAAAATGTGCTCTGCAGTCTGCAACATCTGGCCAGCCTCCTGAAATTACATGTGATATACCAAGGAAATTGATTTCTGTTTAAGGTTTACACCTAAAAAATTTCAAGTCTTCACCAAGACCGTTAGTGATAAATGTGCAAACATTGGTTAGTGTTGTAAGGGGGAAAAAATACTAGGGACTGTCAATGGGAAATCACTTCTTACTTTCTCTCCCAGCTATAAAGTGCCTGCTTACTTTCTCCCATATAAACACACTGTCATTGCCTGAATCACAAGAGACCCTTCCAAATAAGACTCATTGGGATAAGAGCACACGGCCTTCCATGGTTATCCATTAATTCTTCATACATCTCTGCCCACAAACTCACACTTACAAACACTGTCATACAAATACACCCAAAAGTACAACCACACACAATCACACCCAGAACACCAACAAAGCAAGCAGAGAACTTACGCCATCATGATGACACTGAAATCTAACCAGTTCCATGGATCCCGTAAAAAAGTAAAGCCATCTATGCAGAAACCTCTTGCGATGATTTTCACTAGTGATTCGAATGTATAAATCCCTGTGAACGTGTACCTGTCAAAGAGATGGACAGCTTGAGGTAATTTCTAGATAGACGGAAACATTAAATGAATCTTTTAAGATAACACTTGCCTGACGTCTGGCTTCAACTAACAGAGACAAAACAGAAAGGGTACAGCCAGCGCAGCAGAAAGGAAGTGAGGAAGAGAAAGGCATGCTTTGAATTAAATGTACAAACCAAGAACTCTGGAATGTGGTACCCGGTCTTGATGGGTATTACAAAGAATTAACCATACTGCCATCTAGTATATGATACTTTTGAGTCACAGGAGGCCTTCCCAGAGCTATTTATGACTCTAAACGAGTCAAAAAGAAAGGGAAACCTAATGTTGGAGAAGACGGCAGCGTCGTCAGGACCTGAGGGTACAAGATGGTGACGGGTAGCAAGCCAGAGGCAGGGGGCACACCAGAGGGTGGAGGTGAAAGAGCGGAACTCCCAGAGTATGCTTCCTCTTTTAAGAACCGACGTCTAAGGAGACCTCCTAAATTCCGCACCGATCCTCACCCCTCTCTGTGAAACACAGTAGGCAATAACGACTCATTTTTTACCCCCATGGATAAACTGTTCAAAGCAAGATTCAGCAACTAAAAATCTTCAAAACAAGCAAGCAGACACATAAACGAGCTACTTACTCCACATTCTTCGACCACTCAGGAGGGTTACTAAAAGTCATGAATACACAGTTGGTCAAAATAGTGCACATAATGATCATGCTAAATACTGTAGGAAAGAGTCAAGGGAGAATATACAAACTCAGGCCTGTTTTTCCCTCAGAAAGCAAACGTATTTCACATTGGGTAGCATGAGAATTAAATTGGTAACCTGAGCGCAAATGAAGCACAGAGGAGGAAAGGCGAGGTGATAATGGGAACTGCTCGCCACTGCTGCCACTGCTGCCACTGCAGGGTCCACACCTCCGCAGGGAACGAACTGCGGGTGGACAGGGCTGGTTGGCCGCTCTCTTTTTTCCGAAAGGGCTGTCACTGTTCTACTCCTTCTGGATAAGACACTTTCCCCTCCTATCACTGTTATCTCAACTATGGAATAAACCTCTAAAACACCTTTGTGCACAGAAGCCAGAGATCTACCAGTCTACCAGCTGCCCAGTCATCAGGTGAGATGATCAGTGAAATCCAATTTATATTATCCAGCCTCACTTATTGTTAATGATCTCACATAACTAGTTCTTTGAAAATCTACACATGATTAATGGTTCACTTTTTTCATTTTTCCCCCTAGTCTTCCAAACAGTCCTTAGAGAGCAAGGCAATAGCCAGTAAATGCAGAATTTGTCCGGTTTGGGAAACCAGCTGTGTCTTGCTGAGTAAGGATTCCGAGGACATCTGACCCACTGCTCATAAGGATTAAGTAAGAGGCGAATTCACCTGACCGTTCTGGAAGTGCCCAGGAATGTTTATGGATGCAAACCATTTTGTTGCCACTTCAGTTCCATCCGGGATCTTTCTCAGTGCTTTTCTGTTCTCGTCTACTGGTAAAAATTAAACTGCTTTAGGTCAACAGGAGTTCCTCAAACTTAACCTGTCACTTTAACAAGCACAGAAGCTGTATCTCATTTGCTAACTCACTCTCTCTTGCTAATGGCATTCACCATCTTCTTTCTACTTGTGGAGTCTTAAAAAGAAAAAATACTTCTTATAGCTGCATTTTTCTTCATTGCAGCTGGATTTTTCTTCAGGGACATTCTTGTTAGAAGAGAAAAAAAAACACCACTTCTGATCTGACCAAAGAGAAGTCTATTGTGAATTATTTATTTCTTTGTAAGCCTTCAGATTTCAGAACCAGGTTGCTCAATTCTTAAGAGTTAATAAAATGTGGCAAAACCTTTGCAAACCAATTTACCAAGTGGAAATTGCTGGTTTCCTCATCTTACTTGGAAGATACAAATATCCTTTGAAGCATGAGACTAAATACTGTCAAATTAAATACCAGCCATGAAAGTTTAAAGTCACTACGTAAAGTTGCTAAACCCATCACATAATTTTATGTCCGTCATATGCTCTCCTATATTAATAAGATATAAAAGTCAGGCCATCTGAATAAATTGGCATTTTCTGTTTAAGGGGAGTAAAAATACCAGAAAAGATTCACTGCAATCCTGCAGTCTAGACCTAAACCTCTGTACGGAGGCCATTTAATCTGAGAAACTATTTCAGATACTTTCTAAGCTCACTGCTCAAGAGACAAAAATATTCAAGATAGATCTCTAAAGCATTTGTTCAACTATTTGTAACTCAAGAAATAGCTTTCAAAAAATTCTAATATTGGACTTTAGTATGCTAAAGAACTAAGTAATTTGCCTCAGGATGACATTACTAAAGTCTGAGCACTTTAAAAAGTAAGACTTCAGTAAAAGATTACCATCTTCATTTGTCTCTCTTAATGATACCAACAAAACTCCAGACTCCCATGATATTATCCTAAGGAAAAAGAATTTGCTGAAGCTCAGCTCAGGATTTGGCAGAAATTCACCCTTAAACTTTTGACTAGTGGGGTAGTCAACTACACTATTGATAAAATACTTGATATGCAATTCAGTTGTTAAAATTCAGAAACAGACACCAGTGACCACATAATTATTGCACTCAATTTACAGAAAAGGATATGAATGTATCAAAATTTTAATAGCTATTCTTCTTATCAGGTTAAAAGGACTTAAAATGTACAAGGCAGGCGTGGCACTAAATCTGAAGAGAGTTTTCCCTCTGTTTAATACTACAAAGGTCTGTAGAGAAAGAAAAAGAGAAATGATTAGAGCATGGGAATTAATCATCATACAAAACAACATTCTTCTAGGCAAGAAACAAACACAAATGTACTTACAATTTTTACTCCTCAATTTGGCTTCTTAGGCAAGAAACCTTAAGGCAAAAGATCTCTTTTTCCCTCCCCTCCCTCCCCACTGCCCTACTCCAGATTATATTACACGTAGCGGGCACTCTCAGCAGTTTTACAGATAAAGCTGTTTCTTTCGGAAACAAGCCATTTGAATTACACCTAAGATACTGAAGTACAAGATAAGATACTGAAGTACATTCATTTGCAATTAATTCACTCAACAGATGTTTACTGAATGCCTACTAGGTGCCAGGCAATGTTTTAGGTGCTTGGAAACATCAGTGAACAAGGCTACCCTGGTTGGAGGAGTGTATATTCTAATGGAGAAGACAGACAACAAATAAAAAAACATAGTGAATAAAGCAAATTATATAGGATGTGATAAGTGCTCTGGAAAAAGGAGGAAGATCAGGGAAAGGGAGACCTAGAGTGCTGAGGTTAGGGGATCCGTGAGGGGAGAGTTCCAGTTTTAAAAGAGGTGGTCAGGGTAAGCCTGCTGTGAAGAGAGATCTGAGCAGACTGGAAGTCAGTGAGAGTTCTTCATTCCACCATTAAGACACCAAGTCTACTCTATCTGGCTTTTAAAAGCCTCTATTATCAGCATTGCCAAAATCATTCAACCCTATTTCCCAGCATGATTCTTCCTGTCTTGCCAAGTTAGTACATGTTATAGTAATTCATAACTTTGGCCTTTGCTCTCATTACACCTCCTACCCAGAATGCCTTTTCTTGTCTCATGAGCTCAATTCAATTAAAATATTTTTGAGCATCTGTTTAGTGCCAAGCACTTGGGATACAAGTGCTAAGCTCTTGGGATACAAAATTGAGTAAAACTGCACTTTTAGGCAAGACATACTATGTGAACCAGTAATTATGGTGCAGGGTAAATACAAAGTTCAACAACAAAACTACGTGTCATATCTGAGAAGCAGCAGGAGGGGTTGTGGTGAATGGAAGGGTGAAGAGTGAGCTGGGGGGTGTTCACAAGGGAAAGTAACTAATATTTGGAAGGATTTTAAAGTATAAACAGAGATTATGAGTCATTAGTTGGGCATATAAAGGGGGTAATGTTGGTGGGGACAGGGAGTAGCATAAAATATGCAAAAGCACAGTGGCATATAATTGCAGATTTTTTTCAAGGAATTGACAAGTAATTCAGTATTGATGGAAGATAAAACAGAGGAGGGGGAGCAGCAGACTGTGAAGCTGGAGAGAGATGCAGGGACCTACCAAACTGAGTTTCTAAGGAGACAAGGCTGTGGTAAGGACGTAACAACCCTAGCATCTCACTGTGCAGGTGAAAGAGCAAATGGTCAAATGCTAGCCCTTTTAAGTAGGTGGTTGTTTTTTTTTTTAATTTAAAGCAATACACGTGCATAATTATATATATTAAAAGAAAGGAACAGAAGACCTAAGCTCCACCTTATTACCCAAAGATAACCTTTGCTGCTTGTATACCTTTTCAGAACTTTTTTGTGCAAATACAAGCACACAGATATAGCCTTAAAAAGACTCCCTCTCTCTCTCTGTCAAACGGGATTGTACTATAAATACACTTCGGCAACTTGCATTAAAAAAATGAACCCCCACAAAGAAAATCCCAGGACCATATGGCTTCACTTATGAACTCTATCAAATGTGAAAAGAAGAATTAGTATCAATCCTTCATGAATCTCTTCCAAAATATAGAAGAAAAGGGCATGCATAGTAGCCAACTCATTCTGAAAGGCCAGTATTACCTTGATACAAAATCAGACAAACACATCACAAGAAAAGAAAACTACAGAGTGATATCCCTTACAAATACAGACACAAAAACCTCAACAAAATACCAGCAGACTGATTTCAGCAGCATATGAAAAGGATTATACACTAAGACGAAGTGGGATTTGTCCCAGCAGATAAAGATGGTTTAACATATGAAAATAAATCAATGTAATACAACATATTAATAAAATAAAGGATGATAATCACATGATAATCTCAAGAGATGCAGAAAAAGCATTTGACAAAATCCAGCACACTTTCATAATAAAAACACTCACCAGACTAGAAATAGAAGATAACTTCCGTAATCTGTTATAGGAAAGGCATCTACGAAAAATTCACAGCTAATACCATACTTAATGATAAAAAGATCAGGAACAAGACAAAGGTCTACCCTCACCACTTCTTTTTTTTTCCTAATTGTTTTTTATATTGCAAGATATACAATAAAATGCAAAAATCTTAGTGTACAGCTTGATGAATTTTGACATGTATACACTCATATAACCATTGCCCAGATCAAGACATCAAACATAATCACAAATTTTCTCCCCTTTCATCTATTTCAACCATTCCTCCACCCCCTTTCCCTATGGCAACCACCACTCTGTTCTCTGTGTTAATGAGGCTGCGTCTGTTGTTTATTCATTTGTTCTTTAAATTCCATATATAAGTGAAATCATATGGTATTTGTCTTTGTCTTAGTTCACTTGGCATAATACCCTCTAGGTCCATCCATGTTGTCATAAATGGCAAGATTTCATTCTTTTCTTATGGCTGAGTAGTACTGCATTGTATATATATATACCACATCTTCTTTATACATCCATTTATTGATAGACATTTAGATTTTTCCATATTTTGGCTACTGTAAATAGTGCTGCAATAAACATAGGAGTAGATATATATTTTTGGATTAGTGATTTTGTTTTCATTGGGATTCCCAGAAGAGGAATTGCTGGGTGGTATAGTATTTCTATTTTTAGTTTTTTGAGAAACCTCCATACTGCTTTTCATAGTCACCAATTTACATTCCCACCAGCAGTGTAGGAGGGTTCTCTTTCCTCGCCAACACTTGTTATTTCTTGTCTTGTTGTATTAGCTATTCTAACTGGTGTGAGATGATATTTCATTGTGGTTTTGATTTACATTTCCCTCATGCTTAGTGATGCTGAGCATCTTTTCATGCCCCCGTTGGCCATCTGTATGTCTTCTTTGGAAAAATATCTGTTCAGGTCCTCTGTCCTTTTAATTGGATTATTTGGTTTATTTGGTGTTGAGTTGTATGAGTTCTTTATGTATTTTGAATATTAGCTCTTTATCAGATATATCATTTGCAAATACATTCTCCCATCAGCAGGTTGCCTTTTCATTTTGTTGGGTTTCTTAACTATGCAGAAGCTTTTTGGTTTGATGTAGTCCTACTTGTTCATTTTTGGTTTTGTTTTCCTTGCCTGGGGAGACATATCCAGAAAAAAATTAGTAAGGCTAATGTTTGAGTTTACTGTCTATGTTTTCTTCTAGCAGTTTTATGGTTTCAGGTCTTATATTTAGGTCTTCCAATCCATTTTTTTTTTTTTTATGTATGGTATAAGACAGTGATCCAGTTTCATTCTTTTGCATGTAGCTGTTCAGTTTTCCCAACACCATCGACTGAAGACTGTCTTTCCCCCATTGTATAATCTTGCCTCCTCTGTCATATATTAGTTGACCACATAGGCATGAGTTTATTTCTGGGCTCTCTATTCTGTTCCACCAGTCTATGTATTTTTTCTTGCAATCTCACTACTTCTATTCAATATTGTACTGGATAGTCTAGAAAAGGCAATTGTGCAAGTAAAACTATTTCTATTTACAGATGAAATTATCTTGCATATGGAAAACCCTAAGGAATATATACACATGAAACTATGAGAGCTCATAAACAACTCAGATTTCAAGATACAAGATCAATATACAAAAATCAGCTATAAATCTATACACTAGCAATAAACAATCTGAAAGAAAAATTAAGAAAATAACTCCATTTACAAGAGCATCCAAAAGAAAATAAAATACCTAGGAATAAATTTAACAAAAGTACAAGACTTGTCCTACTTCTATAGCTTTTCTTCTTCCTTCCTAATTACAACCCTTTAGTAGAATTCGTGCCTCATATAGAAAATTACCGAGTATCATAATTCTTCCAAGTGGTAAAGACACCTCAAGACAAATGCTGGGCATAGAAGCCACAGGGCATAAATCTGCAAAGAAGTAAAAAGCTAACCTTTTCAAAGAATATTGCTTCTCTCTCACTTACCAACT